AGTAAGCATTAAATGGTAAAATCGGGAATCTCAAGGAAAATCTCAAGGTTTGGAAAAAAGAAGTCTTCGGGAATCTTGTTTGGAGGAAAAATCAGGTCTTTTCTGAGATTGCGGATATTGATCGGATGGAAGGCCAGGGGTCCTGGCGGATTCCTTGAAGGCTAGCAGGGTGGAGTGTCAGGCAGAGGTTGCTGAGATTGCTATTCTTGAGAAGATTTCGTGGAGGCAGAAATCTCGAGCTTTATGGCTTAAGGAGGGCGACAGGAACACGAAGTTCTTTCACAGATTGGCCAGTGCCCATAGAAGGGGCAATCATATTGGGAGGATTCGGGTGGAATGGGAGGTTTTGTCCAAGGAGGAGGATATTTGCAGAGGCATTGCTGAGTACTATGCCAAGTTGTTCACAGAGATGGCGAGGTGGAGACCTTTGCTTGAGGGGCTTCAGTTTAACTCTATCTCTAGTGAGGAGTGCTCGGGATTGGAGGAGCCATTCTCTGAAGAAGAAGTTTTGGTTGCGCTGAAGAGTTGTAATGGGGATAAAGCCCCAGGTCCAGATGGGTTCACCTCGAGATTCCTTTTGGAGTGCTGGGAGGTGGTTAAAGGGGAGGTGATGGGTTTTTTCCATGCTTTCCACGCCCAGGGGTCTTTTGAGAAGAGCTTGAGTGCCACTTTCATTGCCTTCATCCCCAAAAAAGAGAGGGGGGGGGGGGGGGGGGGGGCGTTGGATGTTTGGGACTTTCGCCTCATTAGTTTGGTGGGGTTGCATTTACAAGCTGATCGCCAAAGTCCTTGCTTTTAGGTTGAGGAAAGTGTTGGATGGGGTGATTTCTGATTCTCAGAACGCCTTTGTGGGAGGTTGTCAGATTCTGGATTCGGTTCTCATTGCTAGCGAATGTGTGGACTCCAGATTGCGCAGCGGGGAACCGGGCGTTTTGTGCAAATTGGATATTGAAAAGACGTATGACCATTTGAGCTGGAGTTTCCTTCTCTACCTGATGGAGAGGATGGGGTTTGGTGTGCGGTGGAGGAAGTGGATTCACTTTTGCATGTTCAGTGCTCGTTTTTCTATTCTTGTGAATGGAGTCCCAACGAGTTTTTTCTCTAGCTCGAGGGGCCTGAGGCAGGGAGACCTACTCTCTCCTTTTTTGTTTCTCTTTTTGATGGAGACCCTCAGTAGGTTGACGAGGAGGGCGGTTGAGCTGCGTTTTCTGAGAGGGTTCTGAGTGGGTAGGGATTCCGCTAGCCAGTTGGAGATCTCTCACTTGATGTTTGCAGATGACACGCTTGTGCTTTGTAATGTAGAGGTTTCCCAGCTTAGGTATCTGAGATATGTTTTGATCTGGTTCCAAGTTGTTTCTGGCCTTAAGGTGAATGTTGGCAAGTGTGTTGGTGCCGGTTGGGGAGGGTCCAGAGATTGCTTTGTTCGCTGACATTCTTGGTTGTCGTACTGGTTCTTTCTCTATCTCTTATTTAGGGCTGCCCTTAGGGGCTCCTTCGAGGTGTGTGGGGGTTTGGGATGCAGTTGTGGATAGGTTTGAGAGGAGGCTGGCGAGTTGGATGAAGCAGTATCTCTCCGCGTGGGCCGCCGGGGGGGGGGGGGGGGTCACTCTTATTAAGATCACCCTTTCTTATCTTCCCACTTATTTCATCTCGCTATTTCAGATCCCCGTCTCTGTTGCTGAGAAAATTGAGCGTTTACAGCGTAACTTTCTATGGGGGCAGAGGGGATGAGTTTAAGTTTCACCTGGTTCGGTAGGAGCAAGTGTGCAAGCCGATTCGTAATGGAGGGCTGGGTCTTCGTAGATTGGTGCCTTTCAATAAAGCTCTCTTGGGGAAATGGCTGTGGAGATTTGGGGTGGAGAGACATTGGCTTTGGAGGAGGGTTGTTGCAAGCAGTTTTGGGGAGTGCAGGGGAGAGTGGTGCTCTCTTGAGGTTCGTGGCCCGAGGGGTGTGGGGGTTTGGAAATGTATTCGGAAAGGCTGGGCTGATTTTTCCATTCATGTTCGCTTTAGTCTCAGAGATGGCAGAAGGATCAGTTTTTGGAAGGATGTTTGGTGTGGGGATATTTCTCTTGCTTTCGCTTTCCCACGGCTTTTCAGGATTGCTACGAATAGGCAGGCCAGGGTGAATGACTGCTATCAGCTTGATAGCGGGGGTTTGGTTTAGGATGTTCGATTTAGGCGTCCTTTTCAGGATTAGGAGGTGCCACTCGTCTGTTGGAGGTGTTGTATCGGCAGGGTGTCATGGCTGGTGACTCTGATGGATGGATTTGGACTCCCAATGCGCAAGGTCGCTTTGATGTTCGTTCCTTTTTCAGGTGTCTCATAGTGGAGCCTGGAGAGGTCTTCCCGTGGAAGTCTGTTTGGCGCTCTAAGGCTCCTCTCAAGGTGGCCTTCTTCGCTTGGACCACTGTTTTGGGTAAGATTTTAACCCAAGACAATTTAAGAAGGCGAAATCAGGTGGTGATCAATTGATGTTATATGTGTCTTCGGGGTGAGGAGACAGTGGACCATCTTCTTTTGCATTGCTCCACTGGCAAAGATTGTTGGGACTTGATGCTTGGTTTGTTTGGTGTCCATTGGATCATGGCTCGTTCCTCTCAAGGGCTTGTTGAGGCTTGAAGGGGGTTCTCGGAGGGGGCTCATATTTGTGATGCTTGGAGGGCTACGCCTCTTTGTGTGTGGTGGTGCATCTGGTTGGAGAGGAATAGGAGATATTTTGATGGCATTGAGAGGCCTATTTCTTTTCTTAAGTTCTTTATTGTTGCAACACTTTTTTGTTGGGTTTCTGGTAGAGATTATAGATCTTTAGAGGATATTGTTGTTTTTTTGCCCTCTCTAAGGGCTTAGAGGCCTGTTTTTTGGCCTTGTGTTGTTCTTTCGGGATGCGTTCCCTTTTTGAGCGCTTTCTATGATATCTTTACTTATAAAAAAAAAAAAAAAAAAAAAAAAAAAAGAAGTTAGTAGACACTATGGTTAGAAGAAGGGGTAATGTAGCATGTGTAGTGCTTGGTTTAGAATTTGAGAAATATTTTAATATTCATCTCTACGTATAAATGAATCTTACTTTCAACCTCCCCCCCCCCCCCCCCCAAAAAAAATAAATAAACAAAAAAGAAAAGGAAAAAAGAAAAAAGAAAAGTGAGAAACAAAGTTTAAACATTTACAGATCAAGAACTACATTATGGAAGTTGTAATGCACCTACAAACAGGGACGGAGCCAGCTGCACCCCCGGGCCCATGCGGCCCACTAAGATTATCCTATTCTAAAAATCTCTCTAATCCTTTCTTTCTTTCCCTTCTTCTTCTTCAAATTCTTTTTGATTCTCTTCTATTAAAGTCTTCCACCCCCCCCCCCCCCCCCTCAAAGTTCTCTCATATATATATATATTCTTTTTATTTTCTTGTACTTCAACTTTTTCTTTGTTTTTATGTTTTCTTGCACTATGATATATGTGCAGTAACCTTCTTTTCTCTCTTCTTATTCTCTTATTCTTTAGATTTATTACTGAAATTTTATACACTCAGGGCTTGTTCAGCATTCATAATGAGAATTTTTTTTTAAGAACCAATATAATGTAAATACCATTTTTTAACAAAAAAAAAAAAAGTCAAACATTTTTTTATGTAAACATGTTTTTTTTTTTTTGGGGATAAATCGCACCACAAAAGAAAATAATAATAAAATAAAAATTACTGTTTCTGCATCATGTGAAATTGAAAATTGAAAGTAGAAATTTTTGCCAAAAGGACCCTTAATGTCTGTAATGTATGTTTCCAATATGTTTTTCAGTTTTTTTTTTCTAAAATTATTACAAACTATCTAAATTTTGATTATTGCACAGTTATTACACTTTTATTTTTCGGGTTGTTGTCTTGTTGCACTGTTAGTTGGAAAAAATAAATATTTTATCATGTTTAATATGCCCCCCAGAAACAAAATCCTGGCTTCATCGCCTCCTACAAATACGAATTTTGATTAACATTCAAATGAGCATATAGATAATGTTTCTAATAATGAAATAAATATTAGTATACAACATGAATTTGACCTCCAAGGGTTGTAGCTTGTGGTATATCCTCAACTTCCCGAAGTGGAAGGTTGAGGGTTCAAGTCCCTGTAGGGGCAAGTTATGTGAGAGTGTTATTTTTTGGACAAAAAAAAATAAATAAAAATAAAAATAAAATATGATGGCGTTCTAACTGCCAAATTGTACGATGGTCCTGATCAATATAGAACAGACATATATTCGGTAAAATTAGTTGTAGATTCTTTAATATTAGGAGGTGCTTGCATTCTGGAATTGTAATTTTGTGCTCCTGCGTGGTTCTTCAATATTGTGTGGTGCTTGCATTCTGGAACTGTAATTTTGTGCTCTGCATAGGATGTCAAAAGCTTTATGGTGCTTTTGTAAAGAGTGATAACTTCTCTTCAATTGTGATGGGACCTAACATTATCTCGAGACAACTTAAAATTATCAAAACAGTCGAATATTAAAGTAGTTTGACGTTTGTAATACAAGAATATAAATCAAAGATGTTCCGACTCAGAAATATAAAAAAAGATTTGTCAGTTAATAGTTGTAGTAAAAAGTGTAGTGGAATAGGGTCAATGAGATACGCTGGTTTACTACCTTTGAATACTGTGGCTATCTTGATCCTAGGGTCTGGCTAACAAATTTTTTATTTATAAAGATGAATTTGCCTACAGTAGTAGAGATTGTTCTTCCAAATTGGATTCGCTGCAATACTTATATGGGTTCTTCTTTGGATTACTATAATCTGTTCGTATAATTGATAGAAGTGTATTAATTTGTTCCTTACTCTTCACCAATGTATATCTGCTATATCCTAAATGCACGAAAGATTTACATTGAAATAGTTCTTCTCTTTAGTGCAAACCCAGTATTCATTTTCTTTCTTATCGTCTTCCTGTTTACCTTATGCTTCCTATATTACACTTCCAAATCAAAATTAATAACTGACTCTACTGCTAGCAGCATGTACTGGAGAGGGGAAAGCCTCATGAAAGAAGCCAAATTATCACCAAATTGACTGGGAAAGTTGTGCAAATGAGTCAGCATAAATATGCATCAAATGTTGTTGAGAAGTGTCTGGAGCATGGTGACGCTGCAGAACGGGAATTCTTGATTGATGAGATTCTTGGGCAATCCGAGGAGAACAATAATTTATTGGTAAAAAGGACTTAAAACTGTTACTGAGGTTAAGAATATTCATGATTATTGTGTTGCTCTGAAGTTTTGGTATTTTGTTTGAAGTAATAACATGAGTTAAGTTTCCTAAGTGGCTGTATATGTCAGGCTGAACCAAGCTGAGGTCAGCCAAACTCAAGCACATTCTCAATTTTTAGTTCAGTAGCGTGAGCTGACTTAGGTCACATGCTGCCTTTTATTGCTTTAAGCTTGTAGTGTATGTTTACGAGGAAAAAATGTGAACTTTGGAACTTATTTTATGTTACTATTTTATGTTTTTATTGAGTATTTGCATGGGAGATGTCTGTGACTAGGACTGGACCAAACTTCATGGGCACCTAGCTCTATCTTCTATACATCAGATTGGTAACTTGATGAGCAAAGCAAATGGAGTTATCCTGCTGCTCAGTATAACTCAACTTAGCTGGACCGTACATTTATGCTCCATTGGGGGTTTTATTTAACCACTCCACCACAGGGCCTTATTATCTCTTATTGTAGATTTTATGGCTTTCTCTACCACCAAATTGATAAAGTGGTTTATAGGGACTGTAGAAGCTATCGGGTCCTGATGTTAGATTCTCTAGGATGCAAAGGGTGAAGATCATGCTACTTGGATTGGGTGGGAACTGGGTTACTCAAATGTGACCAGCCAATGCAGCCATAAAAGGGGAGAGGGACTATAATGTGTATTTCCATTCTACAGTGTGAAGACCTCATCCGTGCAGAAATTTTGGCCTTAAAAGATTATAGAAAAATTTTAACAGGAGAATGACCAATTATTGTTAGTATTATTTGATAAGTAGGAGAATGACCAATTATTGAATTAGTTTTAAGCAAGAGTAATTCCCTAAATCTGGTTTGTTGGCTTTATCAAGTGGTGTCCCATGGAAGTACACCTTCAAATAGAGATCTCTGATTTTTATTTAAGAAGAAAATAAATAGCATTTTGTGTGACATAGATCATGTAGTCAATAGGAATACCCCAGTTAGGGTGACAAAGCTTGAGAGTTCTCATAATGAACTACATTCAGTATTCATGTTTAATGTCCTTTTGATTTATTTATTTTTACTCACCAGAGATTTTTATATAAGAAAAATATAAATAGCATTTTGTGTGACATAGATCATGTTTTCAATAGGAATACCCCACTTAGCGTGACAAAGCTTGAGAGTTCTCGTAATGTAGTCATGTTTAATGTCCTTTTGATTTTTTTTATCTAATCTTGTGAGATCTCACCCTTGTAAAATCTTTTGAATGTTGTGTAAATTAAGAGTACTCTCTATCAAACTTTGATAATATGGTATTCAAATATTAGAAATAAGAACATGTAAAATAAATTTCATAGAAGGCAAACCAGACAAGGAGGAGTCACTATCCACACCACTACCACATCTAGTGTTTTATATTAGATTGATTGATGGCAGGTTTAGATGTCTGAATAGAAAAATATCGCATTCCACTAACATACCATTAGTGGAGTTACTGGAGTATGCATACTAGAATCATGTTATATAACTGCCGCATGAGATTGAGAAGTTGGCAAACATTGGGAAGTAGATATATGGACAAAAAATTTAGACATGTTATTGGAACATGTTTGTAAATGATTATCTCAATGTATATGTGTGTGTTTGTGTGTGTATATAATTATATATGCTTGCTGTGTAAGAACAAGTATATTCTCTTGGTAAGAAATTGAAATTTTGTTGAAGAGGAATAATTTATTGTATTAGATAAACAGTTATAGTTATTGACGCCTTTTACTTCTCAGGTCACAATTCTTACCAAAAAAAATAAAAATAATACATGAATATATTGCCATATATCAAGAAGTTGTTAAATATTTTTAATAGCTAAACCATTGCAGCCTGCCAGACTCTTAGGTCAAGGAGCAAAATTTGGTTGATTGGTTTGGTTAAGCTGATTACAGGCTGGCACAACAATTTACCGACCTAATTATGTTTCTCACATATCACGTTTTATTTGCTAGGCTTGTACATAGGATTAATAACATTTACTTTTCTGAATCGTTAATATTTGAGAGTTTTATACACGATTCTTAATAGTTTTCATGATTTCATTGTGAAGTTAAACAACATGAATATAATTGAGTGATCACAATATATTGCAATTTGAGGCTTGTATTTTTCGTACTGATGTTTGTGTTGTATGACATATTATAGGCAATGATGAAGGACCAGTTTGCAAATTATGTTATCCAGAAGATTCTAGAAATAAGCGATGATAAGCAACGTGAAGTTTTGCTCAATCGTATCAGGGTTCATCTTCATGCTTTAAAGAAATACACTTACGGAAAGCACATAGTTGCTCGATTCGAACAATTATCTGGTGAAGGTAAGTAGATTTCTATGGCAGCATTCCCATTGAGTATGCACATATTTCAGACAATGATTTATATAGTTTTCTGAAAGATTAGCTTGCTTTACCTAAAGCATATTATTTGGATAGTTTCTCCATTCATCTGTTCTTGAAGCAAAAAGGTCCAAAAATGAGATAGAGAAATGCACAAGAGCTGTACCATCATTAACACACCACCATCATGTAGCCAAAGAAATGCACAAGAACAAACAATCACACTTTCTCTTACTATCACCAGTACCCCGCCACACCCCTATCACTTTTACCACTATAATCACCATAAAAAAAAACGACCAACGCACACTTACTATCACTGGCACGCCTATAATATCTACCAATGTAATCACCATAGAACCATAAAAACATCTCCAGAAATCCCTCCATCTCCCCAGTTGACAGCATCTTGGCTGACATTAGCATGACCAAAGTAAGTCCTCTCTATATAGACCAAAGCTAGTTCTCTCTCTCTCTCTATATATATACCCGTATCATGATCTGAAGGACTTATTTTCAGTTATAAGTCATCCGTACTTGCTATTATTTTTTATGAATGTTGTTTGGCGTGTGTGTGGTGATTTACTGAAATGCATATAATAATTTTCCTTTGCTGTAAAAGGAATGAAGGTTTAAAAATAATAATAAACAGTAGGACTGGGTATATTGTATTATAAAACAAAAAACTAAATCATCTTTTTTATCCTAAAAGTATTTTACAAATCCTAACTAAAAAATGCCAGAACTGTTTCCCTAATGCTACTATTTACTGACCTGTCGATCTTACATGATGCTGATGGTTTACTAGAAATTTGAATAACCATAAACATGAAGCTGGCAGATTCTCTCTTTTTTTCCTTTTCTCTTTTGGTCTGGAAGTTTTACTTGATTCCTATATTGTTTGAAGCAACTTGGTGGGGCTCAAAAATTCAACCCCCAAGGGAGTGGGGAAAAAAAATCTATAAATAGCTTTTAGATGCAACTTAGGATACTAAGAAAGAGTTGTTTCTGTTGCAGACATGACACGTGGAAACTAGTTCAACGCCTTTTGGATGTATTCATAATTTGAATATAAAATTCTCAGTACCCAGATATACTGCCGGCACTTTTTGGTCACTCATCAATACGTGACTAACAAAGTTTGGACTTTATAGATTTATTTTCTTTTAACTTGAAAAAATATAATTGTAAAGAAAATAAAATTGAAGGTTCATATAGGGTCTCTTAAAATATTGGATCATTTTCTTTCTAAAATGAAATATGATTATAGGAAAATTTTATCAGAAGAGGATGGTATGGAAGGACAAGAGAAATTATGATGATTATTTATGTAAAATATGTCATATATTAATGTATTTATATACGTACACATATATTGCATCTTTTGGAGTTCTGTGCAACATGGGTGAGTATTGACGAACGTGATCCATAAGTCATCATGCTATATTCTAGAATATCATATTAATTTATCCTAGAGTAATTTTGGTTTTTATATTATAATTTTATATATATTATACTATCTTCTTGCTGTATTCTTGTAGTGTTTGTGTCATACAATTTTAGAATATTCCTTCTCGTCCTGCCTGATTTGTTTTGTATACCTATGTCCCATACCAGTGTTTATGCTTCATTTATGGTAGACAAGTTCATATAATGCTAAATTTGTTAATGAACTTTGAACTCACAGGATGAATGAGCTATTACTAGTTAAGTTGGACGTTTTGTGGCTTTATTGTCCATCTTGCCCCTTATTGATTTGAGGGACGGTCTTCGCCCAAAGTCACTGGATGAGTTGGATGTTTTGTGCCGTTATTGTGTTTCACATAACATTTAAGTCCTTTATCAGGAATAATGCTCTGTAGAAAATGATCATTATCTTCATGATGATGGTGAAAAATTGAGCTGGCATCATTCATTAAAACCTAAAACCGGTACATGAGCTATTGGTTATGGCTCCTGGCCACATCTTGTGTGAAACGCTGCAGCGCAGTTGACATATTTGTGATGGACATAGAGAGAATGGGAAGATATAATCTAAATGAACTCATATATGTTTTTATGCCCAGATGCGGAGCACGTTTACAGTGCTTATCGTTATTATCTTAGAGATAGTCTCATCCAGCAGTCCTTGTGCTACGATTTTATCAACACATTATTATGAATTATGATTAAATGTTGGTCTATGTTATGCAGAAAGCCAAGACTCGGAACCGTGAGTTGCTTAGAAAGGTGGCAATAGCTTTAATTGCCTAAAGCAGCAAGAAGTCACCGTGTCAATGGAAGAAGACTGTTAATCCTATACCATTCTTTTTGAAAATTTGCATAGCGGCAAGAGTCACTGGTGGTTGCAGTTTCATAAATGTGAAGGTGGTTAATGTTCTGTAATATATTTTTTCAAATTGTATCATGTATGTCTATGTATAGAAATAATTAATAGCTAGTGTTTGAAAGAAAACATGGCAGCTTGCTAAATTAGTTTAATATAATCCGATTGCATTTGCTTTGTGAATTGGCTTGCGTAATTAGGAACTCTGATCAATATGTTTCGATGTAGATTGTTTTACATTGGAAAAAATCTTATATGTAAATTATATTGCATAAAAATTTAATTTTTTCCTTCACACATCATAAATGGAGATTAATTAGAAATACAACCTGGTGTTATGCCCTTCCCGCGACTTCAAATTATTTTAAAAATAAAACGATATAAATGCCAAGTGGAGTGTGCAAAAGCTGAACTACAAAAGTTGAAAGAAGTTGAATTCATGGCCAAATTTTAAAAGAAACATAGATGATTTATGGGGGAAGAACCATCAAATCTGTCGATTGGGCACTAGAGGACTAACCATTTGTAAATAAATACTCATTTTGCAGAGCAGTATGCACTGTGTGCGCCAAAACATTACTACGTATTTGGTTATATTTACTGATTGCTGTAATAAAGAAATTTAGCGCATATGTGGTTGTATGGTTGAACAAGGATCATTATCCCATTAATTTTCGCGTGCTTTGTTAGAAACTTCAAAATCTCATCTCAATCAAATGTGTATTGAAAAAGTAACTAAAGGGCTAGTTTAGCGTACGAGATTTCTGTTATTGTAGGGTTATATAGCTGAGAAGTTTGGTTATTGCGATTACCGGAACTATTCACTAAGTAAATCTTAAAGACGTTTGGGCCATGGCTAAAGGCAGACAGAGCAACGGAGAGATTATGGTGGGTCCCACAGTTCAAGAAGCAATATGGTGCTGTTATTCCGGTGATGGCGGAGCCCGTATTTTCAGCCAAGGAGGAGTCCGATGGGGGCAGTTTGGTTTTAGATTTGTAATAATAATAATGATGAAGTATCATTGAAGAAATTATTTCTTTCAAGTATTTGTTGGGGAGGTAAATGCACTTTCCATGAGGTGCAAAAATTTGAGAGTTTTATGAAATATTATTTTAAAGAATGTCTCATATAATATATATATATATATATATATATTTCCTGAATAAATGTCTCACATATTAATTCTTTTTATTTTAACAAGAATTAATATATGAGACATTCATTCTTTTTAACAAGAATTAATATGTGAGACATTTATTCAGGGAATATATATATATATATATATATATATATATATATATATATATGTATATGACACATTCTTTAAAATAATATTTCAAGATTCCATGTATGCCTATATTAATTCTTGTAAAAGAAAATTGATATCTAGATTCAATGTATGGCTATATATAAAGGGTAGTGGATCTCCAAAACACATCGTTCATAAATCGTCTTCAAAATTGTCATTCTGGAACTCAGCATCATTCATCTACAACATATGAAAACACCAAAAAGAATACAGATTTAAACTAATGCTAAAAAAAAATCTTTGACAATAAAGCCTACAACATTTTCAGCAAAATTTAAAGAGCGTTGTATTTTCTCTGAACCCTTGTAAGAGTAGATGACAGACAACATCTGACTAATTTCTACACTTTACGAGCCAGGGTCCTCTGCTTTGTTGCATGCTGCACTACTTTTTCATCCACAGGGAGACCCTTTTGCCGCCTCACAGCGTTAATGAGTTTCCTCGCTGTATTAGGTAGAACACTAGAGCCGTCTCCGAATTCTTCAATCTCCTCTTCTGTTTTGGGTACAAAGAAAGGATCCTCAGGAAGTGTTTCCCAATGACTAAGAACAAGTAGAGCACTTGAAGCTCCAGAAGTCCATCTCCTCAGTTCATCGGCAAACCCAAAGCTTTCTGCAACTGGCACATAAGCATGCACAGTGAATAATGAAGACCCTTCCTGCATTTCTTCCTTCAAAACTCGGGCTCGCCTCCGAGCAAGCACAGCATACATAGGGCCTAAGTATTCAGTTGGGGTGTTCAACTCACAAAAATACATGGCTTCCACAAGTTGAGGTCTCTTCTGAAGTACAGCCGCCCTACAGGCATCCTTGACCACTGTCATAACCTGTCCAGTGAAGACCCCATATTGCTCTGGTTGTTGATGAGAAACTTCAGATTCAGCAAATTGCCGAACAGATGGAGAAATGTAAGCCTCAATAGCAAATGCCAAACCCCACATAGGTTCCTCACACAAAGGACCGGCCGCTGTAGCTAGTTGAAATCCTGACAAAACACTGTTCTCAAGTCCCTCTGCTTCTTGGTAAAGAGCTTGAGTTTCTAAAGACGATGCTGCAGCAGCTATATCACCGTTTCTTGACATATCCACAAACCCCAATCTCTCGGATACATGAGGAGATCCCCTGATAAGAACAGAAGAGTCAGTACTCTTTCCTTTGGATTCCGGAATGAGTAGGATGTTAGGACCAACCTGTCTAGGCCCCAATGCCCAGATCCTCTTAAGAAACTTTTGCCACAACAATTTAGATTTCTCAGGCCGATCCTTGTCAATATCTGCACTTCCAGTGGGACTATCACTCTCTGCAGCATCCATTATGCATTTCTTAAGTTTTTCAATCGGATTATCACCTTCAACTATGCTTGCTTTTTGGGTTTCCAGGCTTCTATAATTTGGTCCTTGTTTACCTCTCATAATATCTACAAGAAGATCAGAACTTTCATGTAACACCTTCGTTAACACAGTTGGAAGCTTCATGACCTGCACTCGAACAACACATCTTCCATTTGGTGTCATCTTCTCAATATAGTCAGAGCTCCCACCTAACAACTTCAGACACTCTAATGGATTGGATAAGTCACCCTCAATAGTCTCTTTATAGGAGACAAGAGGTGGAGAGACCTGCAACCTTACTTTTGCAAATCTCTCCTTCAAATCCTTTATGCACCTCTCAAGATGAACCTCCCCTGCAGCAGCAAGCACGTGCTCTCCTCTAGCAGAAACAGTGACCTCTACAAATGGATCTGCATGATTCAAAAGCTTCAGACCTTTCATGAGCACACCCATGTCAGCTGGATCGGAAGGCTCGATTGCAACTTTTAGAGTGGGTGAGACCTGGAACACCATACTCGAGAAAGGCCAACAGTTCTTTGTAGATGAAAGAGTTGCACTTTTCAATATACACTGGCCCAGGCCTCGAATGGCCACAACATTCCCAGCCCTTGCAGAGGCCACTGGTTTCAAGCCTTGACCCATCATTAGATATAAAGAATGCAATTCAGCTTCCTGTATGTGCTTTTGCATTAATTCCCCCTTTAATGGATCATATAAAGCTGAAAGCACAAAAACCCTCTGTCCAGAACAAAGAACACCGCTAAAAATCCTTGCAAATGCAAGGAAGCACTCATCCGACATACCTTCTCCGCCATCATCAGAAAAAGTGTTTACAACCTCCCCGTGCAGACCCCTTTTAGGTAGCATTTTCAGTGGAACAGCAAACATCTTAGACACAAAAGCAACACCTGGTGCTTCAGGGCAAGGATCACAAGCCTCAACAGATTTTCTCACAAGTTCCAGTTCAGCAAGCACATCGGAGCTAAACCCATTATCAATAACTTCTCTCTTAGGAAGTAAACGTGATATCCGAAAAGACTGGGCTGCAATAGGGTCTGGCATATGATTCACCACCATAGACAAGATTGTATTTGACAAAGGAAGCCAACGACTCATGACAGCTTGTAGCACAGCTTTTGGATCCTTATTCTGAAGTTCACGAGGAGGTATGGACAAATTAAATGACTTGATGACTTTCTGGAGTACCACTTTGTCCCCATCGGCTTCCAAAGCCGCCTGGTAAATTTGCCAGAGTGGCTCCAACACAAATTGCACAAACATAGGTCGAGCCTTACTTCCACTACTAAGTCCCTTCTTTCCCACAATCATCTTTGTCTTGGGAATGAAATATCGAGGACCCCATAAAGCCTTTTGCAAAGCAGTTGCACTCGCCCCAAGCTTTGAGGCATAAAATTCAGCAAATTCACTAATACTAAAACCCCACCCATCCAATGCACACACAAATGCAACATTCCCCTTTTGTGGTTGAAAAGCATCTTCTTCCACATCCTCTATAAATTCTTGATTCTCATCATCACCCAGCTCACCTGATGGTCCTGCAAGTATCGAGTCAACATCCGATAGGTACTTCTCCGATTTGTATGCACTCACAATCCCATTAACCTCGTGAACAATCCTTTGCAGACGAATATAAGCCTCCATCGGACTCAATTTCAATTCACAAATCAACCTATCAATCTTATTAAGTACCAAACACGGTGTAAGCTTTTCAATCCAAGCTTGACGCAAAACCGCATGCGTTTGAATGTGAACACCCTCGACAGCATCAACTAAAACCAAAGCCCCATCGCTCAACCGTGCAGCAGTGGAGACCTCACTACAAAAATCCATGTGGCCTGGAGAGTCTATAAGGTTTATAGAATGATCTTTGTATTGAAGAACAATAGAGGAGCTCTTCATTGTTATTGCCCTCCTCTGTTCTTCATCAAGGTAATCCATAAATCTAAGCCGACCCGCTTGCTTCGGGTGGAGCACTCCACCCCCATAGGCGGCGATAAGATGATCCGCAAGCGTAGTCTTGCCATGATCAACATGAGCAAGAATGCATATATTTCGGATTTTTTGGCAATCAAAATCGCCCATTGAACTTTATAATCGAAGTGTACAACAAACAGGACTGTATAATTAATCCAAATCTAAGAAGTAAAAAGAAAAAATTTGTACCACAATGAATGTAAATCAAAACCCTAGGCGGATAAGTGTATATAAGAGAAGGGGTTGTTATTGGTTCTAGGGTTTCAAAACAGGATTGTATAATTAATCCAAATTAAAAAAATGAATGAAAATCAAAACCCTAGAGAAGTGTGTATAAGAGAAGGGGTGGTTATTGGTTCTAGGGTTTCAAAACAGGATTGTATAATTAATCCAAATTTTAAAATTGAATAAAAAAACTCGCAACAAAATGAATGAAAATAAAACCCTAGACAGAGAAGTGTGTATAAGAGAAGAGGTTGTTATTGGTTCTAGGGTTTTAGTGAGTGGAAGGAAACGAATGTCGGCTGGGTTCTTTCCAGTGTAGGATTGGAGAAATCCTAGATATGACGATGTTACAACAATTGGAGGAGGACAGGAGGAAGGTTTTAGAGAAACCCTAGATGGAATTATAGAGAGAGAGTTTAGAAAGAGAGAGAATGTACCCTTCAGTCCGAGCCTCTCGTGTATGCCCTTGAGCTTTAGTTGGATTCTGCCGCCAACGACTATGCAGATTTCACATGAACAAACACAACCCAAGGGCTAGTTAAAAACAACGCTCAATCTATTGCTTTGTCAAATGTAATTTTTTAATTTTTTTTTTGGGAATTTGATTTCTCTTCTTCTTACTAATTTATTTTGAAAGTAAAAATATATTTTAATTTTTTTTCTTCATTATATATGCAATTTATTGCTTTGTCCAATCTCATTTTATTTTTATGATTCCAAGTTCCAACCAAATAATTAGAGAACAATCTTAATTTCAATAAAGAACGTAAATTTAAAGTTTTATCCCATATTTTCAACTGTGTTTTCTCTTCTCTTTTTCTTTTTGATTTATTAGTAATTTAGTCACAAAATGTGCAAAATATACTAGTGGGTTCTCTTATCCATTCTAAACTCTAAAGTAGAAGGTTTCAAGTTCATAGGTAGAGGTGCCACTAAACTAATTCTATTTTTTTATATATATAATTTAAATATTTTATTTTACTTTAATATAATCAACATTTTCTTTCAACTTTTTATTTTTATTTTTTTGCTTTAAATTTAATTATATTTTACTCGTTTGGAGAATTAAAATCTTCGTAGAATTTTGTTTATGCATAGGAGTAACTTGTGCAATTTTCAATTGGATTTTTCTAGCCAACTTAAACTCGAATTAAAAAATATGAATCTGCAATGAATTTGAGTTCGGTCGAAACTTTTATAACTTAAATTAGACTTTCATAGATTTTATTCATCAACTTGTTTAACAGCTTGTGTCCCAATCTTAATATTTTCAGGTTTTACAAAGTAATGCTGTCAGATAATCCGAATTTGAACTACAAATCACTTGTTTTAGATCTTTACAGAGTTCCATTTCATTTGAAAATTTGTGTTTAATGATTGAATTTATATATATATATATATATATATATATATATATATATATATATATATTCTCTTCGTCCCATACAAAAATTGGCTACTATTTTTTTTTTTTTAAGTTAAAGCAAATACGCACACACCCTATCTTCACCGCCACCGACTTCACCTTTGGAAAGGAAGGAGTGATACCACTGGGCCATTTAGTTATTTGGTTGTAGAACTATACTTGCCTATTCATTGGAGTGGGTGATTTCGAGTGGCTTTGATTTGATCCAATTACAAATACACACTAATTTTTGTTGAAAACGGGGGCATTAAAAACATAAATTTTGGATGAGATTTGAAATAGATTTCGTTAATAATTTTTTACGGATCTCTAGACAAGCGCGTTTCTCTCCATAAGGAGATGAATGTGGTATATTTACTTTCTGAAATCCAACGGATGAATGAGAAATTAGCTCCAAAGTGTGGTGTTTTGATAAGCCTAAATGGGTATGCAAAATGTGGGAAGTGTTTGTCCCACATAGAAAAAATGTTGAAACAAATTGAAATTTAAATAAGCTGAGTTTATGATTTGGGCTTGGGCTTGGGTTTGGGCCTAATTGTAAAGTCCACATTATTCTTTTTTGGAATTTTGGATTGGGCCTAATTTTGGGCTGGGCTTATTTAAATGGGTTTCACAAATGAATGGGTTTTTTGGGTGGTTGGCCTTTTGAATTAAAAAAACTACTTTTTAGTTTTTCTAAAAGGTTACACCTTTTAAATTAAAAAACCATATTTTAGTTTTTCTAAAGGGTTACACATTTTAAATTAAAAAACCACTTTTTAGTTTTTTTTTTCAAAGGGTTACACCTTTTTTCGAACCATCATAACCCATGGTTGCACCTACTTGAAAAGACACCATGTGAACCATTGCAACCTATTGGAATGGATGTGTCTATTGGTGAACAGACACCATGTGAACCATTGCAACCTATTGGAATAGATGTGTCTAGTGGTGAATAGACACCATGTGAACCATTGCAACCTATTGCAATGGTTGTGTCCAATAATGAAGAGATACACCCAATCCGAAAAGGTATATCTGTTTCTATAAATACCCCCCTTTTGATCATTTGCAATTCATTCATTTTCATTTTCTTCTATCTCCCTCTCTAGACTGGAAACCAACCCAAGTGGGTTCAAACCATAGGTTAAGTGGTTCGAGCCACTTCGACCATAATCCAATTTCATCGAGCCATATTAAGATTGGTCCGAACCATTTGGTTCGGATTACACCCAATTCAGCATTTATATAGTATATAGATGCATTTTTGAGTCAGAGAGAGTATTACACGGAGGAGGTTCGCCGTATCCACGAGTTTGTAGTGCTGCTACTGGTGGATGTAGACCGTTGTATCCTGGGAGATATATGTCACTGAGTCCGTTAGCACCATAGCGGGGCGAATCTGTCTTAAGGACATAGTATCCAATACTAGCCTCGGTCCAGGTTCATTCATTACATATTATTATTATTTTATTGTTTTATTTTGCATATTTAATTAAATATAGAGTTGCATATTTAATTAATAATTTATTAGCATATTGTTAATTATCTCATGACATATTAGTATAAGGGTTGTTATATCTTAAAAGTCACATTAAGCATATATTTTTCCAACAATCTTAAGACAGATTCCTTCATTGCGTAGATTTTATTATATGTTTCTATTTAAGATATAAACAAGTAGATATTATACTAATAGTTGAGATATGATAAAATAATGTTATATACATTATTATATGATAATATGTTAAATATTAATGCATTCAATATTATGTGAAATTGAAGCATGTTATATAAGTAGATTATTGAATTATTCAATATTGGTTGAATTATTTAATTTTGTAATATGATATTATGAAGTATATGACATTACCTTAAACATGTACCAACTAGAGGTGGAAAAAAATACTTCGTTACTTTTATCATTGGTTGCACAAGAAACCGTTATGTGTATTTGCCACGAAGCAAAGATGAAACCTTAGAAATGTGACATCATATGAATTATGGAAAGGTTGAAAACACCTTTCTATAAATTCTTAAAAGTATGGGGGTGTCTATTTAAGGTTGCAGATCCTACTCCTATGAAAGGTTAGAGTGGACCTAAAATGTGACAACCTTGTAGGTGAGTGTGTCGTGGAAGGGTGCAAGAGGCACTAACAGGCTACCACACTAGGCGAGCTACAAGTGCACAGTCCCTACACATAAAACCTTTGATAGGTAATGCTCATAACAGTATTACATATCATTTCCTTGTTCATAAATCATACAATGAAAATAAAGATGAGTTTAGAGGTAGTAAAAAGGTTAGAACGTCTAAATCTTTTATTCCTGATTTTCTAGCATGTTTATTGGAGAATAAGCCACAAAGCTTTAAGGAAGCAAATTCTTCTCTCGATTATTATTATTTCTTATATTAATTATGTGATATAATTAATAATGTGATATAATGTGAAACTATATTGTTTACTTTCATTTGATACTATAATATTGAACTATGTAGTTGAATTACTTAATGTGTATTGTAATTCAAATTTACAACATAATTTATTTAATATGTGATATTATTGAATTTTGTATGAATGGACTAGTCCAACTATGTCAACTCTTCTGATAGTCAAAGGAAAAGGATCTATACTAGTATTTAAGACACGTATAGCTGTAAATGGGCTGAATCAGAGAAAATTTTCCAATAACTCGAAAGAATTTAATGGAAAATGTTATGGATACACTAAGCAAGTACACCTAGACAAGCTAAATCTAGCTAGTTAGCTCTAATATACAATTTAGCTAAAAGCTAAAATGTTATTGAGTTGCAAACTAGTTAGCTTAGGTATAAGCTAAAATGATTAATGAGGTGCACAGAACCTAAGAGGAAGATGAAAAACTGTCAGTTGGTTCTAGCTCTTAACTTGATAGTAAAAAATATGAGGGTGATGAGTAGCCATTTTAGCCATAAGTTATTTGAGCTATACATCATATCTGCTCATGTAGGAGGGAATAATACTACTTGTAAAGTAGTAGTTTTTGAAGAATATTCTTAAAAAAAAACTTACTCTACTACTAAAATAGACCACTTAGATAAGTGTGTACTAAAGCTATGAGCTACTAGAATTGCTAGCTAAACAAACTTAACTTCAAGCTAGCGGTAATAACTGAAAAGTGGGTGCTCATCATAACTTAATAGTGAGATATGAGAAGAGTGTGTAATAATACTTGAGAAGTGAGTGCTCACTCTATGGTGATTGTATCCAAAACTTAAATAATAAGATGATTATTTGCTTAAATGATTGAGTTATGTAATGTGTGACACATGAAAGGTTATGACATGTTAATATGACTAACTTAACATGAATAACTCAATTCATAAATACAAGAGATGTAGAAGCAAATATTAATTAAAGCCCATATCTCTAGCATTAATTCAGAGTAACGTTAGTGACATATTATAAAAACAAGCTAGAGATAAAGTAAATACATATGCAATAGAGACTATTAGACATGCTTGTTGAAAAACGAATATAGAACTTTGGAAAGGTAAATGAGGTGAAATATTTAATATATGGTATTTCAAGAGTCAGAAAACCATAAGAAATATATCATATATAAAATTTCAGGATTATTCCAAAGTTGTGGAGGGATATTGTCCACAGATAAAATTTGTTATGAGTTACCTCACCAAATAAGAAATACTTATAAATGTAGGGTTCTTAATCTTAAGAAATTTTGGATAGAACCAAAAATCATTTATAGTATTATAACAATAGTGCATGTTGTTTCATATAAGGAAAATATTATGGAACAACTAGAAAAGTTCTTTTTCCAACGGACGAGCTGAGTTATTTGTTCTAGTTGAAGAGTAAAGTGTGCAAACTTATAAGTCCTTGAGTGGATTAAAGCTAGTACCAAGACAATGACATAAATGTGATGTATAAGTCATTGTATGTCTTAAAAAAAAAATTAATGATATACTAATTAGTATATTTGATATGAAATATTTAACATCTAATAACATAGTATATTCTCAATAGAGTGAGATTGAGATAATACTAGTTATGATAACAAAAGCCTAGCTAACTTTTGTAGATGTAAATCTCAAATATAAATACTAGCCGAAGTATATCATTGGTTGAGATTGCAAGGCATCTTAATAACTGTGTTTAATTGCACATTTTCAATCCAGGATCGGATCACTAAAAAACAATAAATTGGGTAGTTGAGATACACCATAAATCCAATATTGCATAAATCAAGGTATCTAACTAAATTGGAGGTGTAACAGTGATGCAATCTAGATATGAGATATTAAAGACTTCAAATCCAATAGTGGATATGTCTTTTATATTAAAGGTGTAGTTCTATGTTCTTAATATAACTCAAAGTTAGAAACTTTGAATAAATCAAATAGGGAAGTCAATAGATTTCGCCTAGAGGACAATTCAAAGTAAGTCTACACCTGTGCCACTAAAGAAAATGATATTGCTAACAATAAGCAATTTTAGGGCACAAAGTATACAGTTGCTCTCACTTGGAGAAATCTCTGCAGAGTGTAATATTTCTAAACGCAACCTTGTGGCCACATATAAAATTGAAGGTTGTACTAGAGAGCAATTGTACAGTTCATCGAGGGGAATGGGGTTTAAAGCCGAAAGCTAACGAGTCACCTTAATGGAAACCCAACCTAGTTAACTGGAGATCCCAAGATCTAGGTTCAAAGGGACAACAGAAATTCTGAGTGACTCACCAGAAGCACTAGGAAGATATAAATCTTCTACCCATTTCTACGATGAGACAGTGCTACCTACAGCGATGATCAGGATAAGCTACGCTTTTAATGACTCTGATACCTTGAAAATTCAAGTGGGGTTTGGTAGGATACTCTTAATAAGAAGTCACTTATATGAGTGTGAAGTGGGGCCGCTTCTATAAGAACTATAAAGGCTAAGTTTTCTAGAGCACTCATTGAATACCAGGACTTGTTCAAGGCCAAAATGAACATAACAATGAGAACCAACTTTGTGAGGAAAGCTACTGTGTGTTTGTTATTGTCTCGGTTTACACAAACGGCTGAACAGTTCAAGACATCGCGTTCACTGGTTAGCCAGTAAATCCGATAGCAATACACTAGGGAAGGTTCAAAGCCAAAAGCCACCTATACTGATGCAGTAACTTTTCGACTATATTCTCTCTAGTGTCTGCATGATCATCTTTTGCATTTTACGCAAATTTCCATTCATGTGGGGGATTGTTGGAAACGGGGGCATTAAAAATATAAACTTTGGATGAGATTTGAAATAGATTTCGTTAATAATTTTTTACGGATCTCTAGACAAGCGCGTTTCTCTCCGTAAGGAGATGAATGTGGTATATTTACTTTCTGAAATCCGTTTCCGGATGAATGAGAAATTAGCTCCAAAGTGTGGTGTTTTGATAAGCCTAAATGGGTATGCAAAATATGGGAAGTGTTTATCCCACATGAAAAAAATGTTGAAACAAATTGAAATTTAAATAAGCTGAGTTTATGATTTGGGCTTGGGCTTGGGTTTGGGCCTAATTGTAAAGTCCAGATTATTCTTTTTTGGAATTTTGGATTGGGCCTAATTTTGGGCTGGGCTTATTTAAATGGGTTTCACAAATGAGTGGGTTTTTTGGGTGGTTGGCTTTTTGAATTAAAAAAACTACTTTTTAGTTTTTCTAAAAGGTTACACCTTTTAAATTAAAAAACCATATTTTAGTTTTTCTAAAGGGTTACACATTTTAAATTAAAAAACCACTTTTTAGTTTTTTTTTTCTTTTTCAAAGGGTTACACCTTTTTTCGAACCATCATAACCCATGGTTGCACCCACTCGAAAAGACACCATGTGAACCATTGCAACCTATTGGAATGGATGTGTCTATTGGTGAACAGATATCATGTGAACCATTGCAACCTATTGGAATAGATGTGTCTAGTGGTGAACAGACACCATGTGAACCATTGCAACCTATTGCAATGGTTGTGTCTAATAATAAAGAGATACACCCAATCCGAAAAGGTATATCTGTTTCTATAAATACCCCCCTTTTGATCATTTGCAATTCATTCATTTTCATTTTCTTCTATCTCCCTCTTTAGACCTGAAACCAACCCAAGTGGGTTCAAACCATAGGTTAAGTGGTTCGAGCCACTTCGACCCTAATCCAATTTCATCGAGCCATATTAAGATTGGTCCGAACCATTTGGTTCGGATTATACCCAATTCAGCATTTATATAGTATATAGATGCATTTTTGAGTCAGAGAGAGTATTACACGGAGGAGGTTCGCCGTATCCACGAGTTTGTAGTGCTGCTACTGGTGGATGTAGACCGTTGTATCCTGGGAGATAGACTTCACTGAGTCCGTTAGCACCATAGCTGTGCGAATCTGTCTTAAGGACATAGTATCCAATACTAGCCTCGGTCCAGGTTCATTCCTTGCATATTATTATTATTTTATTGCTTTATTTTGCATATTTAATTAAATATAGAGTTGCATATTTAATTAATGATTTATTAGCATATTGTTAATTATCTCATGACATATTAGTATAAGGGTTGTTATATCTTAAAAGTCATATTAAGCATATATTTTTCCAACAATTTTAAAAGAGTAATGATAGTTACACCGAAGTCATGCACCGATTTGTTGGGTAGAATGATGTGGCAGTCCAGTTGGCAGAGAATATGATTTAACGTGATTTTTTACTAATATAATTATTCACTTTTACTGTTTACCATCTCATTTCTAATTTCAAAAACCTCTCCGCCGTCCCCAATTTCTCAAACGAAGATCGCGTTTTTTTTTTTTTTCGATGCGATCTGCAACAGCTCCAAATGTTTTGATAATCTACAACAAGTTTTTGAGAATTTACAGGATACCTCTGGTAAATTATATATATATATATATATATATATATATATATATATATCAATCTAGCTATATATGTATATGTTGCTGCAAATTTTTTTTTTAAGAGTTTAACACTAATGTCAATCCATTGATTCAGACGACTAGTGCTGGTCAAACAATTCCATCTATATATATATATATATATATATATATATATATATATATATGATTTAGCAGAGGTACTCAATAGTTCCAAATCATCAAAAAGTTGTAAATCGTCAAAAATTTGTTGTAGATCGTCAAAATTGGAATTGTTGCAGATCACGTCGAATCAGGAGAAGGAGAAATTGGGGACGATGGAGAGATTTTTGAAATTAGGGATGGGATGGTGAAAGATAAAAGTGAATAATTAGACTACTAAAATATCAAGTTAGATCACGTCCTCTGCCGACTAGCTGGACTGCCACATCATTATACCCAGCAAATCGGTGCATGGCTTCGGAGTAAGTATCATTTACTCATTTTAAAATTGAAAAACACAGTGAGTGAGTGAGTGAATTATTTCTAAAAAAAAAAAAACCTATTTTAAATTATATATTTTGTAATTACAGATAATGTGTGCTTTTGTAATTGGACAAAATCAGCTGTCAATAGAGATCACTTATTCACTGATAAGTAGGCAAGTATTGTCCTTTTTTAATATATTTTTAACTATTCTAAATTAATTGTCCAATTTCAAAATTCAATAGATTATTTTTTAATATTCTTAATTTATCCTCTTTATCTTAAAGTTATAAAAAAACCTACATGTGTATTTGAAATTTCATTCATTCCTTTTATAAAGCAAGCAGTTAAAAATGTGAAATTGTTAATTTTTATTTTTGAATGTTTTTAAAATGTGCTCCCTAACAAACGGGGCATAATAGAGAGATTGGAGTCAACTCTCGCATGTATAGGGGAAAAAACAAAACTCTCGCATGTGTAAGACAGTATTATATTATGAGGTAGAGAGAGAGAGAGACGGGAAAGTAGAGAGAGATGAATAATAGTAATGGTAGGACGAGCGCGGAATGCATCAACAATTGCAGAGGGGAAGTAGGGAAGGCGTTGATAGTGATGATATGTGGGAGCCTGGTATACTACCACTGCGCGTACCGGAACTCCAGCCTCCTCTCCCTTGTCTCCGACGTTTTCATCGTCCTTCTCTGCTCTCTCGCCATCCTCGGCTTGCTCTTCCGCCAGATGAACATTTCGTAACTCTCTCTCTGTATATATCTCTTATGTTTATGTATAGGTTTTGAGTCTGAGATCTTGAATTCTATGAATTTGGATTTTTTTTTTTTTTGGGTAGTTGTTCTATTTTTCTTACCAATTTCAAAAATAAAGAGAATTTATTAAATTGTAGTAATTTTAGGGTAATTGAATTAATGAGTCATGAAACTATGGAAAGGGAAAGTAGAACAAAGATTACAGAGATAATCAATTTGGATTTATGCTATGGAGATCAACAAGGGAAGTTGCTTAATAAGATAATTAGTTAAATATTGTAGGAGTAAGCAAAGAGTTCTGCATATGGTTTTTCTTAACTTTGAAAAGGGGAGTGATGGGTCACAAGGGATATAATTTGGTGGGTTTTAGAAAGAAAACAAATACCTTAGTAAAAATTATTCAGGATATGCATATGAACAAAGAAACTGGAGTTCGTATTATATGTGGTGAGACTAGTGACTTTTCGATAAACATAGATTGCACCAAGGATGAACATTAAGCTAATATTTATTTGCATTAATTTTAGACGAAATAACAGAAGACTTCTAAGGAGACATTCCATGGTGCATATTGTTTGCTAATGGTATTGTGTTAAGGGACATTTTAAAGAAAACTTAGCAATAAAATTAGAAATGTGGAGAAATGCCTTTGAATAAACAACATGGAAAATTAGTAGAATTAAAACAGACTACATGGAATCTAAATTTAATAAAAGATTGGGATCTTGATAATATAATAATCACACTTAAAAACCATAGAATTAGTTAAAATAACCAATTTTGATATTCACGATCGATGAAACGAAAACATGGAGATAGATAGTAATATAACTAATAGAATTGGACCCAGTTGGACAAAATAGAGACATGCTAGTGGCATTTATGCAATAAAAGAATAACAAATAGGTTAAGAGAAGAAATTTATGGAACCGTTATTAGGCCAACCATTCTATATAGAGTAAAGTGTAGGCTTTAAAAAGGAAACAAACACAATGTGTTCATGTAGCGGAAATGAAAATGTCGTGATGAATGATTAGATGACTAGAAGAGATAGGGTTACTAATGAAAGTGTCAGAGAAAAATTAGGAGTGACTCCCATTTTTGAGAAAATAAGAGAGAGTAGACTTAGATTTATGAACACATACAACAAAGACCTATAGATGCTCCGGTCAGAATAGAGAGATTAGTTTCATAGAAGGTAAGAGATAGAGAGGGTGACCAAAATTAACATGGGATGAAGTTATTACTTATTAGAAACGATTTTATAGGTGAAATGGCGGGCAATAGATAAGAATAGAAAAAGAGAATTAATGTGGATGACGCATTCATATGGATTAAGACAAAGATGATGACAATGATATTTACGGAGTTCTATGATGGGTGGGTGGTGGGAAGGGAGGAAGAGAGAGAGAGAGGAACAGGCAAAATAAATTTAGAAACTGAAATTATAATGTCGTCACAACCCTGATGGTTAATAGAGTTAGGAAAATCCTCTACTAGATGAATTATATGAATTACCCAGCCTATCTAATAGCTTATCTAAGAGCCTGAAGATCCTTTCAGGAAATAAAGACGACTAATCCAAACACATATATAAGCCTTAGATTTATTTAGTGAGGAGTCGATTTTCTCATATTCCTAATTTGAAGAAAATCTAAATTCATATTTTTATTTTCTCAGCAATCTAGCAAGCAGTGTTTTTTTTTTTTCCTTTTTCTTTTTTCTTCCTGGCAAGGAGGGGGGAGGGGGAGGATGGGGTGAGTCGAACCTGGGCTCCCACACGACTTTGGGGAGTGCCTCTACCAACTGGGGCTACCCAGTTCATCCCAATCTAACAAGCAGCTACTGTGGCTTTTTGGGAACTTATGTGGGCTTAGGCCTTCACCGAAAAATTGTGCTTCAGTTTGTGTAATTATTCTTAACATTCACATAGAAAGTGTCGACTTCTGAGCTTAATAGATCTTTTTTTTTTTCTCTTCCCAATATGTAAACTTAAAAGAGATATTGATACCTTTTGATTCTTTAAAACGGTTTTTCTCCCAGTAAATTTAATTATTCATTTCTACATTATAAGTTCAATCCTCTCCTGAACTTATAATAATATACATATATATGCAGCTATATTATTAATGAATTTTATACTTGTATATACTTTTTAGCGTCATGCATTTGTTTTCTTACAGGGTGCCTGTGGATCCCCTTGAATGGCAAATCTCCCAGGATACCGCTAACAGCATGTTTGCATGCTTGGCTAATACCATAGGCGCAGCTGAGTCTGTTTTAAGGGTTGCAGCAACCGGGCATGACAAGAGGTTGTTTCTTAAGGTAATACTTTTGTATGGTCAGTTCTATTTTCTTTTTAAGATAAAGCTTTGCATATTCAAAAGTAATCGGAGTGTCTTATTCCTTAACTAATATCATCCTATTAAGAAGATTTTTTATGAATTATAGCAAGGGTTAATTGCAAAAATCCCCATAAACTATTCTTCTTTTGCATATCACCCCACTATTCTAATTTTTTAGCGTATCACTCCCTTATACTATCAACCATTTTGCACTCAGCACCCTTTTGATATTGTCAGTACTCATTAGAATATAACTGATAGTCGGAACACGCAATGGTCACGTGCTTGCATTCTCTATTAAAAACCCCAAAGTAACCCTGATCCCAACTTTCGCAAAAAAAAAAAACCCTGAACTATTAATTATTTTGTACGCCACCCCTGTAATATTTGTTAGCATATTACCCCCTTATACTATCAACCTTTTTGCACTTGACACCCTTCTTGCATATATTTTTTTAAAATCGTTAATAACCCTGATCCTAACGTCTCTCTCATTGATTTTGTATATTTCTCTCTTAATCTGCATGGTATCCTCTCTCTCTCTCTCTCTATATATATATATATATATATATATATTCACATATAAGCTCCATATATAATTGCTCCTCTCTGTTATATTTATTGCTCCTTACTTTCTCCCACTATATATATATATATATATAGGGCTACAGTTTATAATTTGGGGCCTTTGGGCTGCAAACTGTTCAGTCACATAGTATAGATTATTTACAATGAGGAGTAATTTTCTTCCGGAAATTATTGCTACTATAATATAACATCCAAGTATATCGTGTGATAGGCGTATCCCCTTATGGTTGAAAGGGAAGTTCTATCGAACAACTATTTGACCAACCATACTTCATGGCACAGGATGTTGGGCAGCTAGGAAACAACACATGCATAAGGTAGGTGTGGTGGAAATGCGAATGTTGAGGTGGATGTGTGCGGTAAGACTAGAAAGGGTGGAATTAGAAATGATCACACAAGGGAGATGGTTGGAGTAGCACAAATTGTAGATAAAATGAGAGAAAATTGGTTAAGATGGTTTGGACATGTGCAAAGAAGACCTTTAAGTGAGTCAGTTAGGAAAAGTGACATATTTCACATTGAGGGTAATATAGGGGAAGGGGAAGACCAAAGTTAATGTGGGTAGAGTAGTAAGGAAGAATATGATAACATGTGGATTGACTGAGGATATGGCCTTAAATAGAGCAGAATGGAAACATATGATTCATGTAGCCGGCCCAAGTAGTTGGGAAAAAGGCTTGGTGGTGGTTGTTATAATGATATTTGGCCGATTCCGTGAACCTATTCTGCACTTGGCATAACTCGTTGATTTCCAGACCTTCCAACGTGAGCAATTATATCATGTGGGATTCCATTTAAATTTAACATCCCAAAAACACTAAGGTGCAATACCTAAAGGCTTTCGGCAAGCTTATGGCAACCTTAAAGTCAGCAGCAACAACATCGTTTTGCCGAAATATTTTAATAAAATGAGGCGTAATAATGATAATTTTAATATGAACCTAATGCCAGTGTAACAGAAGTTACACTGCTAATGTTGTTTGTAACATTTTAATAGTTCAGTGGGGGCAAATAGTCTTCCAGGGGTTTAATATGAACTTAAAAGTAGTGTAAAGGAAGTGCCAATGCTGGCCTTGTTTGCAGCCTTTTAAAAGTTCAGTATGGCAAATAGTCATTTTGGGTAATCTGCAAAACGGTATAGATCGGTTTTTTTTTTTTTTGCAACTGACCCTTGTAGTAATGTGATTAACGCCTTGTTTTATCTATAATCAAGTAACAGAAACTATAATCTTGAAGTTTGTCAATTCAATATATCATATCTTAAGTTAGATAGCGCGAGTGATTCTAAAATGTTCTTAAAGAGAGTGCTTTCAGAGCGTGTTACCAATTATTTTTATGTACGCTTACTGGCCTTACTTTTAAATTGATATACATATGCATATCTGTATAGATTTATAAGACTTTCGTATCGTTCTATTAATGATCCATTAGAATTGAAATTAAATACAACAATCAGCAAATATTAGTGGCTGATTGCAAATAAAAGGGTTAATAATCATAAGTCCGTATTAAAAATGAAAAAGTATTGGGGTTTTAAGAAAAATGTGTCAAATAACAAAAGGTGATTGGCTTTATTGGTCACTTAAGTTTTCTTCCTCCAAAACAATGACGAACAAATCAGAAAGGTGAAGGAAGTAGTTGCTTGTTTTACCGAAACAACCATTGCACTGACTAGCTATTTATAATACATAAAGGTGAAAGAAGTGGGTGCTTGTTTTGCTGAAACAACTGTTGCACTGACATGCTATCTCAAATAGTGATACCTTCTCGTTCTCGTTCTCGTCCTCTTTTCCTACTCCTTTTATCTACAATCATTGTTGTTATTATATTCAGGTTCTTCTTCTCTTCAAATTAGAACATATCTACAAATCTCCAAATCAAGTGAGAGAGAGATATCAAACGCTGAGTTGGTTCAAGATGTATTTTTGTAGCAGAAAGAACTTCTACTCATTGACAATTTAGGGTCATACTTTGAGTTTGCAAATTTAGGATTCCGATTCGCGGATTTTCGAAAAGCAATTCGCAGATTGATACCATATCTGTGCTCCAAGCGTTGGAGCAGCATTTAAACAGGCTCTTCTTTGGAAACAGGGACGGACCCAGAAAAATATGTGAGGGGGGGCAATTGTTAATTTTTTAGTAATTTCAGTGGGCCAATAATGGGATTTTATAGGTATATATATCAAAATGTGAAAATAAAGCATTGGGTTGACTTAGATCATATCTCATAGGATGGAAATAAAGCATTGGGTTGAGCTCTTCTTTGGTGTCAAGGTAATAGTTATGAATATTCATTGACTCCCGGGAAAGGGTAGAAGAATGGGTCTCATTATGGGACATACAATGCATTACAGACGTATGATCATTATGCTTCAACTGGGCAATTCTATTCCACCTCTTAGAAAGACTTCAATAAAATTACTTAACAGCATGGCGATCCATTTATATAAAGTAGCTGTAATTCAAGCATTTCACAAAGTTATTGCATTTGTATGTCATCTTGGTCTGCAGTGTCCGTGACAGAAAATCAAATGAAAACCTTGAGTTCCACTTTAATGTCCTTCCTCTTGCCTTTTTTCTTGAAAGCACTCATGGCATATCATTTCAATGACAGTTTTGCCTCTTATTAATTTTTAGTTCTATATTCTTGTATTTGGCATGTCCCCGTCAACTTGCATGCTTACTTGAAAACCACTCTCTCCTATTCAGTGATGGCTATTTTTTATACAAGACATTCAGCCTCATTAGAATAAAATCAATTTAGAAATTGAAGAGTTATAGGAAATTCTTGTATACTACTCAATAAGCAAATAGGAGACTGGTTGTTGATATTACGAGGAACTAGCATGAGAGGTTTATAAAATCTAATGCTATTGCTTATAATAATGGCACCATATGGTCATCTTTGCAAAGGTTTGACTAGGAGTACCAAGCTCTTAAAGCTAAGCTAACAAAAGGATAGCGAGTGAACACCCTGGGAAGTTAGTTGGCAGGAAAAGGAGGAACAAATCGAAGCACAAAGCTGAGAACTGAATATCGGGACCCCTTGGGCACACTTAATATCAAATTCGTATAAGGAATGTATATTGGTTGACATGTCTGCAATGTTATGATTTGGACTATGCAATGATGTTTATCTGTAATATATATGTATGTTAGTGATAAAAGGTCTGTTTAGACATTGGTTAACTTTTGTGTCCTTTAATGAATAGTTGCAATGATGTTTTGGATTCTGAGTCCAGAAAACCACTTTCATAGATCAGAATAATTCTTTGGGGAACCTAATCCATTTGTTTTTCCTATTTTTCTTTTTTTGGTCATAATGTCTTTTTTTAAATTAAAAAAAAAAATGAAAAATGAAATAGAAACCCAAGTATAAAAGAGGGACCAATTAGGGTTATATAGAAAGAGAAGGGGGCTAGAATTTGATATTGTGGAGGCGATCTTGTAATCTACTACATTCTCCATGTGAACTTGGTTGTCTTGCTTGTGGATGTAGACCTTACTGCTGAACCTCGTAAATCATTGTTTATACTTTGTGTTCTTATACTGGTTCTTCTCATCTTATTCCTATTTGTCATTAAAATATCAAAATTGAGCATCTGTTATAATCTGACGGATAAGGAATGGCAGTAAAACAGTGTTGTTTTGATTCTTTTGAAGAGCCAGATACAGCTTGGCTGCCTATCTTGTTGTTGCTGACTTATTTTAATATTGTCCTTGATCTAATTGTAGAAGCATATGGCAAACTCGAACAGAAGATTTATCTTATGTTTATCTTCTTGACAGGTGGTTGTCTGTCTTTATATGCTATCAGCTTTGGGAAGGCTGGTCTCAGGTGTTACCATTGCTTATGCCGGTATGTGGCGTGCAAATTTTCTTTTCAATTTCTAGTAGTTTTGGTTCAATTTCTGGTTAAAGTATTGTAATTGTTTGAATGTTTGTTGTCAGACTGGTGCATGTCACACACTATTTTTGTCACTCTTTTGACCTCTTTGTGTACGAGAAACTCTGATGTCTAGGGTCCTTTGGATGCATTTTTGTCCACAATTTTGCAAGCAAACATAGCTCGGTTGCAGTGAAATGGTTTTAGCGTTCTGCATTGCCATGTTTACTCGCATTTTTAGGTTCTTTTCTCAAAATCATGAAATTCAGAACCAAATTCAAAATTTCTCTTGGAAATGTGTTTTCAATTTTTTTTTTTGGGAGTGGTGGATTCCCAAGTAGCACATACACTTGTATAAAGATAACATCTCCATTTGACTTGTCTAACATGAAAACTTCTTGGATACCCCTAGAAAGTATGAACATGTCTTAGTGCCATGGTTTGCCGACTAGGTCTTGTCGTGGCGTCTCAGCCGAGTCGCATCGGACTCGGCCTTAGTTGATTTCATATCTTGGTTTTCAGATATTCCTCCCTTCCTTTTTATCTCTTTTCACAAAAATCATATATGCGATCATCTTCAGTTGATTCCCCTGCAACAGGATTGTGCTTGTTTTGTCTCTACATGCTTGCGGAAAACTCACAATTGATCAGTGCATGCTTATCGCCGTTTGTAAGGAGAAGAGATGGCACAAATGAAGTTCAGGATAACATTTAGATTGCATGCTTTAGTTACTGTACATCCAATTTTAGTATATTCAAATTTGGCTGCTTGGCTAGTTGTAGCTTTTTATTGCTTATTTGTGAATGACGTAAAATTTCGTTCAGAGAACAATTTTGCTGTAGTTTATACCTCCCATGTTTCTAGAAAACGTTTTTTTGTTTGTGTGTTTGCTTAACATGCAAGAACCACTCACCAAGCAGCACTGCACAAGATGATCTTGTGACTGTATAAGAGCAAAAAGAATTTGAGAAGCCAGTAGCTATGTACTTGTTATCTACTCTGTTCTTCGTAAAATGCAATTGTTTCTCGAGTGTCTCGGTGACTGTCTGAGTGTTGTAACATCAGGTGTTGGCTCATTTGTTTCAAAACTTTAGTTGCTGATCCTTAATTACGTGTTTAATTCTCCCATTGGATCTCTCAGACACACAGTAATAATTTTACTGGCAAGGCATGCTACTGTTTCAACATCTAACCCGTGAACTTTAGTCCGTTCTTCAATTTCTTGAAAGTTCTATGCGAATCTTTCTTAGTCTGAAGTTATAAATATTCTAAATACAGATTAAGCCACAATTCGCTTACCATTGCCCCTGTGACTTGGTTATGATGTTTATTTTCGTTTCACAAGAGGAAGCCATGTCTGGCAGAGTTTTTCATTCAAATCAAATTGCACTTCTATCAATCATCTCACTCAAAGCACCTAGACATGTTTATATACGCCTTATTTGGTGACAGAAACATGTAACTTTTGTTGCGATTTGAATAGTGTGTTTTCCCCCCAAAAAAGAAAAAAACTTTAAGTACCCTTTTTAACTAACCATTTTATTTTTCAAACTTGCAATACTATTTTAACAAACAAGTTTTCATATTTTTGTGTCCAAAAAATTTTGCAACAAATTTTACAGTACCACACATGCTTCCAATCGTTATGTTTTGAACGAAAAGGGAAACACAACGTTTCTGGTTGCCAAACAAGCCCATAACTCTTATAAGCAGGCATATCCTATCCTATCCCATGCCGCAAAGCCGCCATCTTAAGAGCATTAAATGAAGAGGAAAACGGGTCTAAATTTTAAGACCAGAAAACCAGTTGCATATTTTAAGCACCATTTTAACCAAAGAGCATGGCACTGCATATCGAAAATAGTTGCACCTATGCAGAACAATATATAAACAGTCCAACTAGCAAAAACTCCTTTAATTGATGAATGACTATAAGGGGCTATTTTCTAGCCAATACATTTTTACCCTTGTAGAAGCATCATTCTCATTCAGCAACTACAACAATTGTTATGGGGGACCAGGAATAAACTCATCCTGTGAAAAGGGAACTTGGATTCCTCTGTGTCTTTGTCCACACCTATCACAGTGTACAGGTACATCACTTGTTAAATGGGTGTCTGCCGAATAATAATCTCACAAAAATTGATAAAGTTGCAGTTCATCTTATAATTAGAGTAGAAGATCACCAGCAGCCAACCCTCCTCTGTTAACACATGCATATCAATTTTGTATCCTTGACAAAACAAAGGCACAAGTCATGGTATACCTAAGTTGCACAAAGAATAATGGACCCATGATAGAAACTATCACAGGTGGCGCCTCTCAAGAAGCAATATATCTTTCCAAGCCTCGTAAAACATCCAGGTGATGCCTGAGGAGGGCATGACTTTTAAACAGCTCGCACCCCAGCCTCTGTAGAGACCCAATAAACCCTCTTCCCTAATGACTTCCGAAAGTGCCGCTGCCATGTGGGGCGGGCACTTACCTTGCAGAGCTCCCACCATCAGCCGTTTTCTGGCCACCTCCAATGGAAAACTAATTGTGCTAGCTGTAAAACCTGATCACATAAAGTAAACACATTTGGTCAGAGGCATGTCTAATCTTTGGCCAACATCCACCATATGAAGCTTCAAATGGTCCTTGTGAATACGAGGGAGCTTCTTATGGTCTAATTGGAGCGGATTCTCATCTTTTAAACAAACTAACAAAATCAGAGGAAACTCGCACCTGAGAGAGCTCCAACCAGGAGCATCTCTACACGGTTTAAAGACTTTTTCTTCTTTGCTACGCAGTAAGATTTCTTCAAAGAATCGTACATGAAATAGTAACATGTGCTGTATGGGAGCATGCCAATCAATGTAGGTGCAATTCCAGCATAGAAACCTCCGATTCCACCTTGCTTGTAGATATTGCTAACTGCTATGCTTATAGAAGGGTAAGTCTCTGGACTTACAGTCAACCTATCCTGTAAGAAATAGTAGGAAAACAGTCAGTTTTCTATACCAAGAGAACATACAAGAACAGCTTGAAATTCTATTGCCCATGATGTTTGAAAAATCATCCTAAGTGGAAGCATACGGCAGAAACAAATCATGAGACTAAGTTTACACCAATGTATTTCCAAATTTCTAGGAGAACTGGTAAAGAGTACATCTAACAGAACTTTAGTAAAAAATGTAAGAGATATTATCAACTTAACAAAATAATTCTTCATTTCTAAAAATAATGTAGAAGTTTTGACAATATTATAAATACTCTTTTTCCAGTAACAGACCAACGGTTCCACAATGCAAATACCTTTAAGACTTCAAGTGGGTGGCATACAAGGGTACTAACAACTCCAGCAGCCGCACCAGCCACAGCAACTGGAGAGAGCCAGGAGAAAGAAAAGTTCAGGCTGACATGACCAATTTTCACCTTTGGACATCCAGTCTTCTCCCATTTCTCTTGTGCAGATGTCATAGTTCGCTTGACACACTCAAATGTTCCAAGCTCAATTGCTTGCGTAGGAATTATACGGAGCATGTTGATTGTATTACCAGCCCACAGCCCCCGCAAACCTTGCTGCTCAAAGACCTCGACGAAACTACCTGCGATGTTTTTGGATCCAACACCAACAACCATTCTTGTCCTGCAGATTTTAATTTTTTTTAATAGGTATCGCGTTTCAATGAAAAATAATATACCTAACATATAGTGGGTAATGCAAGTCCAACAAGTACTTTTCAAAAAACTCAAACCAGATTAGACACCTTTATACATCTAACTTCCTAACTTGACTGGCCGGATTGACGATCCTAAAGTTAATATCACAATTCAAAACATTAGGGTGCTTGAAATCATGGCTTTACTTACTTCGGATAAAATGTTACACCTATCAAAGATGTTGGTCATATTTACCGACTAGAGTTCCACCTACATAAAATTGAACACTGCATGATCTGAGGTTTTTCAGCATCTAATTCTACTTTGATTGTGTTTGAACCAGACATTTTTTTTTTGTTGACCACTGAGTTTCTGAATAATGTATACACCTCACGAAAATATCCAGGAAATAATTAGAATAAAGGGATTAATTTTAGAATCAAACATCAAAGTATGTACAATATAAGAACTTATTCTAAGGAAGTTAGTATAAATTAGATGATAGAATGTTGAGCATGGTATACGAACATTACTCCAGAATTAGCAAGTAAGGCGGATAGACTGAAATCAACAGGTAACTACACAACAAGAGTTCCAAGAGCTGGAAATATGCTTTTAAATTGGTAAATAAACCCCGAGGCCCATTTAAAATGGTTAAATAGCAGTACTTATCAAAAAAAAAAAAATTGGTTAAATAGCAACATGCAATGGTTGTTACTTGCTAGAATGAACTCCAAAGGTAGATAAGCAAATGGTGCTGCAACAATAAGGAGTAGGCCGAGAAGGACATGGACTGAAATATTGACCAACTTAAAAATGACCTCCAATGGAAAGTAATGATTGGAATTCATGTGGCAAGTCCCAGCTAGGGTTGGCGTGAGTTGTGTGAGAACCCAACACAAGGAAGCTTGGAAAGTTAAAATTAGTAATACAGGGGATGAAGGACACACAACTTAGTTAAAAATAGCTCCATAAGTTGGAGACAGTAGCAGTGTACCTTGCAAGAACTTTGTTTGGTTGCATAGAAAAATACAGGAACTTCATTTATCAAACTTCATCCATGGGCATTCACAATTTCAGTGAGAACAATATCCCTCAACTGGCTTAGTGATGCCAGCCAAAATAACTTCCAAGAGACACACACACAAAGAACAAAAGGAAAGATATTAGAAGGGACCACCCGTGTAATCATTATCAGATTGATCAAGAGGGAGAGTTTGTTCCGACAGTTCAGATTATGGTTAGCACTATCTGTGCAATTCCCATATTCTATAACCTATATATCACCTACAAAAAAGCTTGCTTGGAATTTCTAATATTGATAGCTAGCTATGATATAATCCCATTGAATAAGGGATTGATACAAATAAGGAAGTAAATTAGACTTGTAAAGGAATCTAAATATCTTGGTGATAAAGAAAAGATCCCTAATCAGTAGTGATTTGGGATTCTTGCCTAACAGAAAGAAATAACAATAAAGTGCAGAGAGAAAAATAGGACCACCAACGACAAGGAACAAAAGGAGGATCCAAGGCATACCCTAAAACCAAAGAAAGAGATAATAAAAAAAAGACATATCAATACAATTTGCTTAACTTTTTGGAATTTTATTTTATTATTTATTTATTTATTTATTATAAATGCTAAATGATAGAATTAATGACATAAAATATCCCAAAATTCCAAATCTGCCTAAGCCCACATTACCACAACTCAAAAATCAGTATTATTTTTCCATCATTCTTTTCTTAGTATTCCACTTGTCATCTCTTATGGGTCATAATCTCTGTATCTGACCATTCATGTTTCAAAGGTACTGCTTTAGACAACAATCTTTGAAGAACTCCCAAACTTTAGCATTACTTAACAAGAAGTGAGAATGTGCCTTAGTATAGGAGTTGAAGTTTGATGGAAACCACATGCCTACGAAAACTTCATATGAATTGACACAGTGATACACACAATGAGACTAATTCACATTGAAAATTACAACCAGGCTGAGGCTACCAGCACTTCTAAAAGTATAAATAGTTCTTACATCATGAATTGTGGAAACAAATTTATTCTCTAAAAAAACCATAAACAAGTATAGGACACTTAAGAGTGCCTTGAAAAGATAGGGTTAATAATCAACATATGAGGAAAAAAATTAGGAGCAGAGACGATTAGTGATAAAATAAGAGAAAATAGATTTAGTTGGCATGACCATATACGACATAGACCTATAGATGAACTTGTAAGAAAATGAAGATAAGTTTGCATTGAAGGTAAGAGATAAAGAAGCCAACCAAATCTAATATTAGATGACATCATTAGGAACAACTTTAAGAAAATTACGCATAATAGGAGACATGGAAAAACATGAATCATGTGACCAATCCTATTCAGAAGGGATAAAGGCAAGGATAACAATGACGGTGATGATGAAGTATAAGCAAGTATTAATTATATTGCATATATATTTTACATCACATGTCCATATTTGAAACACAAACAACAAGAAATCAAAGAATTAACAGAATCAAAGCACAAACACCACCTTCATGGCATCGACGATACATTTAATCGAGTATAAGAACTTCTTTTCAGGTTCTCATTCTATGCAATACATCTTCCGAATTTTATATCAATTATGAAGGAAATAAATTTACGAAAAAATGTAAAGCCAATATCGAAATCATTTAGGCCTTCAACAATGAAGAAATTTTATATGCATTCCCTTTTCTGCTTGGCATAGGATATAATTCAGTATGGAAGACAAAGAAGCTTTGGTATGCGATTACTGAATGTGGTCGCAAAAGCAAATTCCTTTTTTATTTTTTGTTTCATGAAGGATATCATGAAAATAGCTAACTATAAAGAGGGAAACCAACCTGATGGTTTCAAGCGGAGCAAGTACAGCTTTGGTCATAGCCCCTGCCAAAGCGCCGCTAAGAAACTCGCCAACTTCTCTAGTCCCCAGAAAACCCTGAATCAAATTAAACCATCTCTCTAATTTCGACAACCAAATTGCATTCTACATGTTTTTTGGATTTTAAAATGCTAAATACTAAAACAAAGCTGCAGTTACATGTCAATATGTCCATATATTCAAAGAAAAAGGAATCTTTGTAAGCCAGTAACAAACACCTCAAAACTATAAGAAGCAATGACATCGTTCTTCAGGTTGAAACACAGAAAACAGTAGGATAATCAATCTACAAGGATGGAAAAAAAAACTCCCAAAATTACGAAAATAAAATACTGAAGTCACTCATCAGCATAATAAACAGTTCAACAATGAGAAAAAGGTATTAATTTTCCAATATATGTTAAATAGAAGCATAAATACCCCAGAAGAGATAGAAAGCTCATCATTGAATTCTAAGCATATTGACCCAAACCCACATTAACTTTGTGTATTTCCCTGGGAAAAAAAAGTATAATTTCCAGATATAAACTTTAGAGTCCCGAAGAAAGGGTGACCACTGAGAAAACGTAAGAAAAAGAAATAAAACAGTACTTTAAACCCTAAATTTTCTGCAGCCTCCTATATTTTCTCAGCAACAAACAAACAAAGGTGGGAACTGGGAAGCCATTGTAAGCATTGGCAAGATTAGCAATTAATCAACGATCTTAACATGAGACTATGATTTGCTTAAGAAAGCAGAGAAAATTTGCTTTATTTTTACAAAAAAAAAAAAACGATTAAAAAAAAAGAAAAAAAGAAGAAAGGTACTCACTTTCATGGCCTGTCCAAAGTCAGGTACTTGGAATCGGAGCTCGAAACCATGATCCTTCTCGACCTCAAGCTCCTTTGGGACCATCATCACACCATACACATCTTCCATAACACAATAGCTCTTCTTCTGCGACATAGATTCCATATCCAATTTTCAAAATACTCAATATACGAAATATCAGAACAAAACATACATATATTTATAAGATGTGAACATTCTCTCATTCACGCTTTACATGTGTGTATATACTAGTATATACGTATAGAGAGAGAGAGAGTGAAAATTGACATGCCTGAGAAGGAGATTTTTGGATCATCTGGGAGACGGTGGACGAGAGAAATTTTCTCTTCTCAGAGGGCGAGGGCACCACTGGGTTTTTCATTCAAAAGAGATTTTCTTTTCTCTGTCTGTGCTTCTTTTATTTCTACCTCTTTTAGGGTTTTTTGAAGTTATAAATTCCGAAATTTTTAGCGCTTTCCAAAATTTCTGAGTCTGTCTGGCCCTACCAGACGTATTAATTAATGCATGATAGATATATACACGAAGATATAGAGGGAAAATTTAGCCCAAAAAGTAAAGAAAGAGAAAGGGTGGAAAAGAATATGAATATTCTTCCTTTTATGTCTAATTCCTTGTTTGGATGACTAGAAAATATTATCGATGTTTCATGTAGATTTGGATGCTCTCGGTAGTTTTTCCTCCTACGCATCTGCAAAATCTCAAGTTCAACGAACGAGAAAAAAAATAAAAAATAAATTAAAAAAGGTGTCATGTCATGTAATTATTTTTTAACAATAAATAATTTAAAAAACTATTTATTTGAGTATTATTTTTGTGAATAATACTCTTAATAAATCTATTTTTATTAGTTTTGAATTTTTTTGTCCCATATTTTAATTTGGGCCTGAGAGTTTTGAATCTATAAAAACAAGTGTCAGAATCATTCACATGGGGAATAAGGCAAAAATAATTATGATGATTCATCTTAATCGTCATTGAGCCATTTTTAAAAAAATTCGCACTGATAGTTGTGACTCTAGATTTTCACAGTTGTTTTTTAAAATATAATTATTGTTGATTAATTTTTAAATATATTTTCACTATTGTATATCTATGTACATCGTAATTGTAATTTGTTCTATACATATTATTTAGGAACAAAAATGTATATATATATATATATATATATATATATATATATATATATATCTATTGTTATTGTAATTTATTTTAGCAAATTGATATTTAATTTCTTGTAATTTTATATAATTTTTAATCACATGTGTGTTTTTGCATTCATGAGTCGAATCAGATAAATTTCTTGCAAGTCCTTGTAAAACTCATTTGAAGGATGAGGGTCGTATAATTCCAATTTGAAGCGTGTAATATCCGGCTTGACCTGGGTCAACCCTATTTTCTAAGTCGTCTAAAATTTAAATGATGAGAGCAACCGATTATTGCTAGCAAATGAGTCGGTAAGGCACGGTGTGGACCGTGTGGTGTTGACCATTGGTGGCACATCACATTTTGCTAGCTATCTTCATCGCCAAAGTTAGCAGCCTGGTGGTTGCTAGCCCAAAATGGGCCCAAAACAGTCACATCATGATCGTTTCCTTTTTGTTAATAAACTTTTGTAAATTTTGCTTGATTCTAAATAAAACCTAACTGCTATTTCATTGTTTCTATTTTTTTTCTTTTTCTTTTTTATAATTTATTTTTATTTCTGAAAAAAACATGTATGATTTTATTTCTTTGTTTTTTATTTTAAATTTGTCAATAAATATATGAGAGACAAAAAAATTTTAAATGATATTTTATTTATCACAAACAATATGAAAAATTACATTCAAAAAATATTTTCATTAACTTTGTTATAAATACATTTTAAATTTTTTTACTCAAATTTTAAATATATAAAAAATTAATAAAATAATAAATAGTTGCACCCATATTGTGAATTTTGACTTGCAAAACACTGTAACTGGCCATGGCCACGGCAGCACAATTGCTGATATGACTAACAATTCACATGTACATTGCCAAATCCACATGTACATTACCAGCCGATACCGGCTGTCCTAAACGTATGCACTTTATTATTACTATTATTTTTCAAAGAAAATACTTATGACAAATCTCCTTTAAAAGTATTTCATACACTACAATTATATTAAAAAATATTCTGGTTCTTCACTTCTGAAAAGTAAATTTGTTATTTTTTTAATTAAAAATAAGTTGAGTATAATCGTATAAAAATGTAGTGTCAATATATACAGGCTGTCCTAAACATATGCATTTTATTATTATTATTTTTTTTCAAAGAAAATATTACAAATCTCCATTAAAAGCATTTCATACGCTACAATTATATTAAAAAAATATTCTTGCCCTTCACTTCTGAAAAGCAATTTTGTTTTTTTTTTTTTAATTAAAAATAAGTTGAGTGTAATTGTATTAAAACTGTAGTGTCAATCTCATATAAATTCTCACTACTGTATTCTTTCACTACATTTACTTTTCTTCATAAAAAAAAATAGAAAAAAAAAATGAAATGCATAATTGGTGCTTCAAGAGCACTTCCTAATTAGTAACAATTATGTAATTCTATTTGTTAAAAGAGAAAATATATAGCTTATTAAAATATCCGTGGTACATTACGCCATTACGGATAGTCTTCTCTGTCGAGTGCCCAATTTGGACAATCAAATCCAACTTTTTAAAAAGTAGATGAAAGCGACAAATCAGGTTGGAAAAGGGAAAGGAGAAATGGAAAGAAGAAAGCGAAGGGATGGCTAAAAATCACTTCCTTTCCTTTCTCTTGCCTCTTGGTATATATACTTCCATCCACAAGAGGGGACCATTAAGAGGATTGTTTTCTACACATGGCAAAGTTCACGATGACAATTTGCCACTTGCTTGTCCCCACTTTATTATCTTTTTCTCCTTTATTCATGGTTTTCTAAATATTTTGTGTTATTGGTTTATAAATCACATGGAGAATGGCACATTTTAATGCACATTTGTGTGTCTGAAATTAAGAGGTGTTTGGATTATTGGAGCCCGAAGGGAACTTGAATTTGAATCACACTTTTTCAAATGCACCAAATATTCAATAATTCTATGGTAAGTGTAAAAAACACTTTTAAACTACTGCCAATTTGTAAATAACCTCATGAACTACAAATTACTCCTTAACTGAAAAAATAGTTAGAATGTTTATTGTTCATTTTTGGTAAATAAATACAATTTAAGAGAAGAGAAAAACTATAAATAAATAGAATATTTATAATAATTTTCTGATGGTTATATATTTGTGTTATTTTAGTGATTTATTGTAATTGGTGGGTGCTTCACGATCCGACCTAAAATCTTAAACTATTAGGTGAAGCTAACACACAACTCATATACATTCAATCACTCTCCTATTTAGATTCGATGTGAGACAAGCCCCCTTATTATATTCTCCTTCACCCGATCTCACAACACCCTCGTTGCGGTCAGGCCACCCTGCCTACTCAGACGCCCTCTTAGGCAGGCGTTTGGTGTGACACCGAATTTAGAACTGAGACTGACTTTAATACCAACTATAACAGGTGGGTGCTTCACGATCTGACCAAAAAACCTAAACTATTGAGTGGGACTAACACCCACCCACATACACTCAATCACTCCCCCATTCGATGGGGTACAACCTCCCCCTTATTACACTTATCCTCCTTGTTCTAGTGGTAAGAGCATCCGGTATGGTGTGCTGTAAACGTAAAAAAAACTTGGTACTGGGCTAGCTGCTTCATAAAGGCAAATTTGGCCATAAAATGAATCCCATTATTTCGAAAATATATTGAGTGAACTAAAGTCATTAATATACTTTATTATTATTCTTATAAACTTTTTAAAAATTGCTTGCCTAAATTAATACTAATTTAAATAGACAGTTTTGTAATTTTAAAAGACGACAATGTAAACCGCTAAATATTTATGGCACGGCGTCGGCGAATACAATGGGTTGACTAAACACGGGAGAGAGAGTCATTTCACATGATGGTTTTGGGCCTTTTTGGCCTTTTGTCATATGAGCAAGAAAGAAAGTATACATAGAAATTAGAATAAACCCTTTGACAATGATCAAAACTTAATATAATATGTTAACAAATTGATTGATAGCCAAACTTCACTTTAAAGTAGATGTTCTCTTATTTTTTTTTTTAACTTTATTGTAAGAACGTCCGTTTTGTTTGACCTTTGACCAATAATGAGCTACGATTCAATGTTACTTCTTCTTTAATCGAATAGTTGACAAGCGATCCACTTTTATTTCCTTATCTTATTTAGGAGAAACTCTGTATAATATTTAAAGGAACTCAAATCAGCCTGATTAGTTTTAAAATATATACATAATAATTATTATTATTATTTTCATTACTTTTGATAATTTTTTAGAATCGTAATAATATAGCTACTAAATACGTATTTTGTCAATTTTTAGAAAAAAAAATACAATGCATTTTCCTAACAATAATATAATAACAACAATTACAATAATAAAATTCCAGTGAATCAGGACATCAACTTGTGGGCTTATATAATTTTTTATTTTATTTTATTTTATTTTGCTATATATTTATCTGCGTAGAGAGATTAAAGAAATGGGCAATTCACATGCAAATTTCTGTGTGCCATCATCTTCCACGATCTTCTATGCACCCAAATCTAATAAACAAAAAGGAGGGATGCAGAAAACTGAAAGAGATTAGTTAAAAGAACTGCAAACCAATCAATGACCATTAAATACACACATGCGTCTCTATGAAGATGCATATACCAAGACTAATTATTTCCAGAAATGCAGAGATGCTGCCCTTGATTAATTTTGACTGTTTGACTATAGACAAGTAATGCTATTTAGACTTATTTTTTAAGTAAAAGATTGGGATTGAAGTGAATGGATGCAGTGTTGTTCTCGTTCATTTCGTTCAGGATGAAAAACTTTTCTCTTATATAGACTTGAAAAAAAGATTATAATATAATACAGAAATCAATGGGAGCCGAACTTCGAAACCTGTAAACTACTCATCAAGAGAATAAACAAACAGAAAAGCTTGATGAATTGTGACTTTTGAGGCAGTTGGACCATCAACCGACTTAAATATGTATAATAGACAATTCATATTAATATATTACAATATATAATATGCAAGCAATAAAATTAAATTCAAAGAATCTTTCAAACTCCTATATATATATATATATATATGCGTGTGCACCAGACCATCCACTTGACACTCCCCACAAACCATCCTTCATTTCAAGAAGGGAAAAAAATTAGTCCAAAACTAATTTCTATCTCTTCTTTCCACGCCAACTAAAACACATGGATTTCAAAAAGTCTAACAAGATCCGAGAGATCGTTAGGCTCCAACAGATCCTCAAGAAGTGGAAGAAGCTTGCCAATATTGCAAATGCAGCACCAAAAAACACAACCAAAAGCAGCAGCAGCAGCAATGGCAGTACTACTAGTACGTCCACCAGCAGTACCAACAATGGCAGTAAGAGCATCAAGTTTCTGAAGAAAACACTCTCTTTCTCGGACATGTCGGCTTCGGCCGACGCCGTCCCGAAAGGGTTCCTTGCCGTGTGCGTTGGGAAAGAGCTGAAGAGGTTCATAATCCCAACAGAGTGCTTGGGACACCAAGCATTTGGGATCCTGCTGAGAGAGGCGGAGGAGGAGTTTGGGTTTGAACAAGAGGGAGTGCTCAAGATTCCCTGTGAAGTGACCCTTTTCGAGAAGATATTGAAGATGGTTGAAGAGAAGAGAGATGGTTTTTACTTGCATCACAATTTTGGGTTAAATGGAGACATATATCACCATGACGTCACTAAGTGTTGGTCACCAGATTGTGAAATCACTCCCTCTCATCATCCTCAAATGTGTAGATGATAGATCATTCATATATTTTTTTTTTTTTGCCTTTTTGTGAAGGCAATGTATGAGAGAGAAAGAGGAGTGAGACTAGAGGTTTTTTTTTCTGAAAAAAAAATCCAATCAGAAATTCAAGTGTTTTGTAACCGTCAATCACAACTCTTATATTAATTTCTTCCAAGGACATTGTTTGTGTGTTTTTCTTTATTAATTGAAGCACTCACTTTAATTACTCAAATTTAGTAGGTAGCATCTATATATAACTCTACTTTGAGTGTGAAATGATATTATTTTTCTCGAAAATTAAGTCCAAAGGGTAAGAGACAAAAAAAAAAAAAAAAAAAAGAATCAAATCTGACGTATTTTTGTCCATCTCATTTTTTTCAAAAACTAATTATATAACAAATGACAAGTATAACCAACCACGTTAGATTCGGTATTAATTGGAGAATTTCTTTTCGGTTCTGTATCATTACTCATAAAATAATTAAAAAAAGAGTGTATTTACAATATTTATTGCTTTTGATAGTTAATAGTATTTAGATTTGCTGTATAAATTTGGTTTAGGGGTTAAACCAGAACGAATCCAAACGGATAGAAAGCAAATGTTTAGGATAAATATGTAAGGGATAAAGCGTCTTTAAAATGTACATAAAACATTATCAATAAATATACACATTTATGTAGACACACAACACATAATCAATAATGAAATACATACAAAATCAAAAGAAAAAACAAACGCGAGGAACAAATACATGACATGCACAATTTACCATCAACAATTAATCATGGATTATAAGTTATAACAGGAGTATAAAAAGAATATATATGGATAAATCAGGAATATATTATGTTAATTCAACGTGTTTCAAGTCTTTATGGTAAATATAATTAATATTATGGTTTGATTCAGATTAGTTTTGGATTTTTTATTTTAAAATAGACTGAATCACTGACTTTAAAAAATAAATCAAACGTGCGATTCAGATCAGATTGATTATTTAATTGATGTACACCGTGGTTTCAAGGTTTAATTTTTATTTTTATGTTCTTTTTCAAGGTTTAATTGATGATCTAGAAATAATGGTAGCATTAGTAACAATTTCTAAAATGATTTTTGATAGTTATTTGAGTACTTGCATCGAGGACGGTCTAGATGTACGAACCATTTGGCCGAAAAATACTCTGTTTTAGCGTTTGATGCACATTCTGCACTTACAAATATTACTAGTTACATGCATAATTTGTCTCCTAATTTTCTCTAACCATGTGACATTTGCTATTGGCGTAATTAGAATGAATATAGTCAACACTCACTAAGATCGGGTTATACATGTGTGTGTTTATATATATATATATAATCATTGATTTCATGCTCTTTCTAAAATTTGGCAATTTTTCTTTCTTTATCGTAATGTAGCTGCGGCTTAAATTTGAAAATGGTATTTCACTCAATCAAAAGAGAATAAACTTTCTGTACCATCTACTTGTTTACGTTGATTTATAAGGATTTTTCCGGTGAATTTTGGGAGTGTCAGGTTTCGACTCTTTGCAACTTCGAATCTAACTTCTAACCCTTCTTGCCTTGTAAAAATAAAAATAAAAATAAATAAAAAACATAATTTTTATTTTTTATTTTTATTTTTTTTTCACACTTGACCCTTAAAAAAAATAATAATAAAAACACACACATTTGAAGTATAGAGAATGAACTTGGTGATCTTAAATGTTAAAAAAATGAGATAGGAACTAGAATTAAGAAAGAGGAAGCATCCTATCAGAAAGGACTAGTCTTATCATTATTGACTGGAGGGATGCACCTCCTACGGCATGAAAATGTCATTCCGCTATATCATGTGTCCACCCACCTAACTTCCTCATCCTCCTTGACTTTTTCTATCTCTTATTTTTATGCAAATAAAGGCCAAAAATGCGAAGGGTGGTTAAAAGTTTAACATTGTTCTCTTGGAAAAAAGAAAAGAAAAGAAAAAAGACGTAGTGTGTGTGAGAAGAACATGATGATCTGTGAAGAGACTTGACCACTGTCTAGATGTTTAGCAATGGCATCAAAATCAATCAGAAACTAACTCCTCCAATATGATCAATAACCGATACTCTGAGATGTCTAGCACAATGCAATCCAAGCAATGACAATCCCTTTGTTGGTTTCAATCATAACATCTAAAACTTGGTGCACTAAAGCGTCAGTTTCTTAACCACGAAATAAAAAACACTCATGCAAGTGAAGTTACTAAAAAAACATTACTGATGTCAACAATCGTTTTGTACATGACCATTATACGATCATAACCTCTGTATTCCCCCTCTATTCTTATGAATGCAGTGGCAGTCTCCAATTAACTAATTCACATTCACATCATCTAATTTACCCAAAAGATACGAAAAGAAAAGAAAAATATCACACCGTAAATAATTCTCCAAATCCAGATTTGCTACCACAGGCATTTCCATTTTGAGGTCACATAATTATGTTATTGTTCATGGGTCAGAATCCCCTGCCTGCAGTGAAAATTATTTGCACCAGTATCATATACCCTTTTTTACAACAAAAAAACCTAGCTGCAAGGCCATCACAATTATTCAAAACAACTGCAATAATGTTCAACTGATCCATGTCTGTGCACCAGCAGTTTAAAATGCACAACTAAAAAGAGAAAAAAAAAACAGAATGATTCATAATGCCCTATAAAACGCTTGATATGACCAGCTCTTCAGTATCTCAATTCAAGTTGACAAAATGTTTGGTATAACTATTTGGTCAGGCACCCTCAATTACATTAAATTACCTATCTGTGCTGTATTTGCAATATATAGGAAAATCTCAGTGGGTTACCGTATACCGAAACTTGGATATGAAGAATTCTCAAAGAAAGACAGGAGCCATGACCAGAGTTATTGTTGCAAGCATTTTGATCAGGACATGGAGGGAGGGTCCTGCTGTGTCTTTGAATGGGTCTCCCACTCTGCAAAACAAACATTATAAAAATTGAAAAGAAAAAAACACTTCAGAGTTACAAAATGAAATTAAAAAAAAACATGAAGCAAAACAGGAGCACAAAATCCCTTAAAATACGAAGGTCCTTGAGCCACAGAGGCTCAAATCATCAGGCATCGTGTAATTTGTTCTCAAGCCTTAGACGAAAGTTTTATAAGATCCAGTTTTTGAGCACTTCACTTGAAACCCCAAAATTGAGAAAGTACTTTCATTTGATTATTAATGTTGCTCTAATACCTGTCTTCGTCTGTCTCTACTTAAACTAAAGCTACAAAACCAAATGGACTGCAGAATGCAGCTTGGGTGAAAAAAACACGTCGTTCCCAATCAAGTACACAAGTAGAATGAGACCCATGCAAAAGGAATTGATCTTACACTTGAATCCAGTACTTGCAACAGTTTTAATGATGCGAATGAAAAGAAAATGGGATGATGTTTGATAATATCCATGAACACATGATGAAGTCAAAAAACTCATTTGTTTTTCATTTTATTTTTTTCCAGTAAAAAAAAAAAAATTAAAAAAAAAAACTCATTTGTTCTTTCTGTTTGTTTCTTCCTCTGTATATACGTTTTTTTCTTTATGCCCTTTGCCTTTCTCGGAATTGAGAAATTTAAGCACATTTCTAGAATCTCTCAGCAAATAAATGTACTACTAATACTACTACCATGCTAAACCAAAACTAATAAGTAATATCAACGTAATACTACTACCGCTAAACTGCAGGTAATTTGATTATTACAACACTTACGTATCACCAGTAATTGCTGCTTTATGACACTCACTCCCTTTGCCTCCAAGAGCCCCAGTCTCTATATACTTCTTTGCATTATCCCAGGCACCTCCAGCAGTATTCAGGAAAAGAGCCATAAGAATCCCAGAAACAGTTGCAAACATCAACATGGAAGCCACAACTTTAGCTCCAAGTAGAGGATGCCCTGTGTAATATCCCAATATCCGGAAGACAATACCTGAGGAAATATAGTAGAAGACTTCAGTGAACCATTTATGACCTAGGCTACCTAGCATATATACATGAAAAAAAATAAATCTATAAAAATTAAATTAAAAAGCTAATATAGCTCCCTCAGATTTTGAGATCTGCAGATAACTGCCAAAACAAGTTATAAACCAGAACTGATCATAATCAATCTAGGAAATTTGTCCAAGGTTGATGCAGAGAAAAACTGGAAGTAACAACATACAATTATTGGCTAAGCATTTCAGAAAACCTAATATATATATATATAGAATCATGCTCAATTGATCATACTGTTCAAGAGAATTCACATTGATACAAAGAAATATATCAATAGGTTTATTGCACATTCCATCAGCTAATAATAACAATGGTAAATTGGTAACATAGATAATATCAACTATAACTATTGGATCAAGGACAATAACGTCAAGAGAAGGCGTGGGGCTGTATCTTTACAACCCAACAGCTGTTATCGGGGCTGAATATTAACCAGGACTGTGCCATCATGGAATGCAGTCTGTATTTAAAGGCATGGCTTTAACCTTTTTTCTTTTAATAAGTAAACCATCATTTAAAGCATTAGGTCAAACCCAGCTTCATAGCAATTAGGCACGTTGTCAGCCACGCAAGCACAAGACAGACTTAAACTTATAGAAAAGATTACGGACATTTGGATTTCCAAAAACCTCTAAAATCCAGCATTTCTAATGGATCGCATGGCAGCAGCAGCACTGAAAACCAATACATCAAACTTTGTATTGATTTAAACACTAATGACAATCTTCATTATTGAATACATAAGCATTCTTGCTAACATGTCATATCATCAAAACCCACTTAAAATATTTGTCCTGCGTGAACCATGATATTTGATCATTTCACCAAGCATTAAATCACAAAATCTGTTTATGCTGATAAATTACTTTCTCACGAAATCACATGCAGATCACATTCCGCCTATTACAACAATGATAACATTTGTTTTAAGACATAAGAAAAATGCCTAACAAGAAACACAAAGCATATAAAACCCACCGACAACCATAGGTGAAACAATTGCCAAAGCACCAGGTTTTATCATCTCCCTCAACGATGCAGATGCTACAATGGCAACACAACGACCATAATCTGGTTTCTCCTTATAGTCCTGTAGAAAGCATATTAGACAATGCATACATCATTGAAAACCCATTTTAGTAATACAGCATAGAAATCAGTAGAGATCATAATACTCACCATTATACCTGGCCTCTCAATAAACTGTCTTCTTACTTCTTTAACAACCTCCTGAGCAGTTCGACCGACTGCAGAACAGGCCCATGCACTAAAAAGGAAAATAAGCATAGAACCCAACAATCCACCAACAAATACTTCTGGTATGGCAATGTCAACCTGTGTATCAATTAGCAGTTGGAAACTAAATGCGAAATGCAATAGCATAAGAAACATGAAAAGAAAACCGAAGTGGAATTACAGTATGCACCTACCTGATTAAAAGGCACGCGAGCAAATGCAGCTACCTCATCCATATAAGCGCTGAACAGAAGGAAAGAGGCAAGTGCAGCAGATCCAATTGCAAATCCTTTAGTAGTAGCTTTTGTGGTATTCCCGACAGCATCAAGCAAATCAGTGATTTCCCGTACACTTTCAGGCTGTAAATGACATATTTTAAACCACATGGCCCATAAGTAGATAGAAGTACACATAAAAGTTCCCTCTGCTGGTTGAGCCAACATTTCTAAAGAAGTGACAGGGTTACCTGCTGACTCATCTCTACAATTCCACCCGCATTATCGGCTATTGGACCAAACATATCCATGGTGAGAACATAAGCTGCAGTGCTGAGCATTCCCATTGTTGCTACAGCTGTTCCAAACAATCCGCCTGTTGGATTTCCATCTTCATCAACCAGTCCTGAAGTGTGACCCAGCCAGAAAGCTGAGACAATTGCTACACTTATGACGAGAACAGGAAGTGCTGTGGATTCCAGACCCAGACTAACACCAGCAATTATGTTAGTCCCATGCCCTGTAGAGCTAGAAAGAGCCAGAGAGCGCACTGGCTCATGCTTGTAATCAGTGTAGTACTTGGTTATCCAGACAAAAGCATAGGCAGTCATAATTCCAACCAGACCACATAAAGCAAAGTTAAACCATGCAGATGGTGCTTGTTCAGTAAACAGCATCCAACGCGTAGACTGCAAAGGTAATGCAACAACCATCAATACAAAAGGAAAATATTGCAGGCTTATAACGTATATCAAATTTAGAAATAAAATAACCATAAAATTCAAAGGAAGAAAATAGAGAGAGAGGGAGAGAGAGAAGCTAAATAGAAGCAGCAATCAAATTTTATTTTAAAAAAATGTCAATATTTGCCCACAATAGATGGAGCTATTACCACACCAAACGTCACAACAGCTAACAATATTGTAATGGAATATCCTTTCTGAAGAATTGCCATCGGATCCTCTACAGCAGCAGTAACTCCAGACTTTCGTGTGCCCTGTATTGACAGTATTCCAACTGATGATATCACCAGGTCAAACGAGTGAACTACGAGAGGGAACAAAATGAAGCCGGATGGATCTGCATGTAAAAAATAATTATCAGGCGATATCAAGTGAAGAAAATTAGATAAAATCATTCACAAGAAGCAACAACAAACCTGTGATGCGAAAACATCAGATAATCAGCAATCGCATGATGGCAGTGAAAGAGCCACTAGAAAACTCAAGATAAAGAAGGTTCTATATTTCTTTCTTTGAAGGACTTCGAGGAGCTCCTTTTTACTGATAAAACCCGGAGAATGACTTTAAGGTCATCGAGGAGCTTCTCTACGGATAAACAACGAGAATGACTTTAAGGCCAATGCAAGGGAAATTCATTTTAACAAGTTTCTGGATCGATCAATAAGCCATCTTGATTTTTGCATTATTATAGCAGCTCGGTCTAGTGACCATTTTTCCTTTTGTTTTGTTTTGTTTGATTTTTTTTTTTTTGGGGGTGTGGTAGGTTATGGGGTGCACGATCCCACATAGCCTGAGTGTGGAAAAGGGCATTGCTAGATATGTAGGATTGGTACACTCGAATTGGTATGAGGCCTTTTGGGGTAAAACCTAACAAAACTGTGCGGGCTCGGCCCCAAAGCGGACAATATCATATCATGTGATGGAGTGCGTTGTTACAAATGGTGTACTGCTCGAGGAGCTCCACTCGGATAAACCTCGAGAATGACTTAAAGGCCTTTGAGGAACTCCTCCTAGATAAACCTCAAAGATGATTTGAAGGCCCTAAAGGAGCTATTCTCTACCAAAAAAACCTTACAGATGACTTGATGAAGGCCTTCGAAGAGCTCCTTTCTACGAATAAGTCTTGTCGAGGAGCTCCTCCGCGGATAAACCTTGATGATGACTTGAAGGCCTTCGGGGAGCTCCACTCTACAGAACCTCAAAAGATTATTTGAGGATCTCGAAGAGCTCCTCCCCATCGATAAACCTCAAGGAGGACTTGGAGGGTGAAGTCCCTTAGGTCAGACGGGGGGCGACCTTCAAGAAATATTCACCAGCCTTGGTACCCTGGGGGTGGTTGGCCTGGTGGCTAAGATATGGGGATCATTGAAGGGGCCTTTGTCATATATCACGAGGTGAACCCTCCGCCAAAGAGTCATGATCCAACACAGAAGTGTGAATACCATTCTGGAGCTGTGGGCCATTCAACATAAAGTTGCTTCTCTCTTAAGCATAATATGAAAGATCTAATAGAGGCAGGCTTGATTGATCACCTTGGTCAAAACTGAAGGCTCAAAGAAAGAGGAATAGTCTCCCCGAAAAGAAGAGGAATCGGATCATCCTTAGAGGAAGGATCGCATTTAATGTGGATTCCTTTTGTGTCGGTCACCCTAAATGCTCACGTCCCTCTTGTACCTCAATGAATCCAGCAGTTTGCCTAGTGCCACGAAATAAAATCCCATCCTATCCTTTAAATGTCCTATAGTCAGATTTCTTCCTTGAACCATGGTCAATTCTTTTAACCCATGGTCCTTACCTGTAGAAGCGATAGCATAAAAAGTAAGTCGATGTGTCATTTATAGGGGATCAACAACCAGAAGAGGATCTAGGAGCAGAAACCCTCTTCTCAAGTCTTATCATGTCCTAACCTCGTCCCAAAGGGAGACTTCCAGCGCTAAAAGACAAGGACTTCCGTATTCTTCCTCAGATCTTCGAAGGGTTCCTCCGCGACAGCTAAGGCCTCCACCAAGGTCCTACTAAGGGCCCATTGAATTTAGGTTACTACTCATTCCTTCAAACCTCACACCCACACAATTCTTGAAGATTAACTAATGTTATAGCAAAACAATATATGTAGGCAAGTATGTATTAATCTTATGGCTGGGAAATAAATGGCCTGCCCCGATAGTGGGTGTGTTCAAGAGGGTGAATGATCAACTACAACGTTAAGGATTCAAGAATGAAATCATCTACCTATCTATCAACAAAGAAATAGAAGAATGGAACTAAATACATATTAAAAAGAACTAGGTGCTTGCCTTCAATTTTGCATTTTTTAGCCATTGATGCCCCTAGTATCATGGCACTGATTATTTCTGCCGCAATACTTTCAAAAAGATCGGCACCTCGAGCCGCACAATCACCCACATTATCTCCGACCTTGAATGTGACAAAACAATTTTGTTCAAGTTTACCAGCAAAATCAATAAATTCATCTAATAACAAGTAAAAACAAGAAATTACTAGAACTTGCAATGCAAGACCTTTAATGCTAAACTGAACAGGTTGTACAACCCAAACACTACAGAGATCCCAAAGAAGAAAGATGAAAGACGTGATTACTATCATTCCAAAGCTACTAGGACAACTACTCTTTATGTTCCAAATGCAAAGAAAAATGTGCACAAGAGTATCTTCCAGTACATTCACTGATCCTCAGAATCACGTATAAAAAGTTGCGAAGAAAAAAAGAAGCTTACTGTCAGATAAATCCCAACTAATTAATCAATATATCATATGCATGGCAATCTGAAGTTCATTAAACCTAGCTGGAATTTGATTGCTTCCTACAACTAAACAATTTTTTTGGTTGAAGTTGTCACGACTTTGTATGAATAATATACATCATCAGAAATTCAATAAGTGTGTATTAATCTGTAAAGTAATTAACACTAAAAACAAGGATAAAGCTCACCTCATACAAAATTGACGGTACTTATTTTAGTCGACCGTGGCTAGTTTAATATCTAGTTATCTACAGAAGCAAAAAACTTTGAGCAACTATAATAGTAAACTAAATATTATAGTCCACCAATTTTATTAGCTTCAAATTTTTTATGTACATTTCTATGTTCAACAATCTCCTACGACATAATTTTATGACAACTAAGAACACTTAATAGGCATGCATAGCTAAATGAAGATGACAAAAAGGGTAAGATTAGGTACCAAATCTGCAATGACTGCAGGATTGCGAGGATCGTCTTCAGGTATTCCCTGCTCTACTTTGCCAACAAGATCAGCTCCAACATCAGCCGCCTTCGTGTATATTCCGCCACCCAACTGAGCAAAAAGCGCAACAAATGAAGCTCCAAAACCATAGCCCACAAGAAGAAGAGGCACTGAGAGAGAAATAAATACAAGTCAAGCTCTGTATTGCAAGTAAATGGTGATTGTGAAACCATATTGCTATAAGCATAAATTTTCAGAGCAGAGTAAGCATATAAGAGCAGCATAAACAAACAGCAGCATCTAAAAAAGTTCTTTATACGAAATGCACACATTCAACACATGCCTTGCCTGGTTCAATGGTAAAAGCTCATGTTTGAGTCGGCAAACAAGAGCTTGAAATATTAAAGGTTAGGTCTTTCTCTAAATTATCCCTCCTAGCACCTCACACAGGTGGGATCAGCCATAGATAATGACTTGTTTTATATATTGACACATGTATATACATCTGTGAATTCAATTTATCAGTGACACAGAAAATGAACATTCCAAATGTAATATAAAGTACAAGCAAAAAGGTAAACTCGGTTTTTTAATTCATTATTTAGGGTAGGGTGCATCCATTTTCAAATATAGGGTAATTTGCATAAAACCCCTATGAACTATTCTCTCTTTCTCAAGTCCCCGGAACTACTATTTAGACAGTTGATCCCTAAACTAAATAGTAGGTTAGGGGTGAGCAACAAACCCTAATGATCAAATTTGCATCATTCCTCTCTCTCCTGGATCTTCATCGTCGCACATGCAACTGCAACATGAAATTAGCCTATTTCATGTAGAACATTCTGCTCAATGATTCCCATTTTTCTTCAAAAAAATCTCCCACAGATTCCTTTTTTTTCCCTCTTAAGATTTATTGGAAGCCTTTGGAGGAAGAATTCAAAGACTATTCTGATTTTCTAGTGATACTACTAATAGAAGCTTGATCACTCTTGGTATGAGGAAAAAAAATTACATCATATTTATACCCAGATCACAAAAAAATGTTACTATGGATTGACTTGATTTGTCTATTGAATTAATTCTTAATTCCTAATCATAATGGCTGATCGAGATCAGGTCCATGTGTGATGATGAAGATTCTGAAAGTGACTAACCAGAATCTTCACCGTCATCGGAACCTTAGTGGAAGTGCAGATGTGAACAAGAGCTAGAGTGTGAGTGACAAATCAGTGACGATCATGTGAAATAGTTCATCATCTCGATTGAAGAATCGGTTCAGAGAAATGCCAACGCCTTTGAGAGAGTGTGTGTGGGGAATTTAAAAAAACATTTTTTTGGCCGGAACTGTCTCTGGGATTAGGCAATTGCAACTGTTGTTTTGGATGCTCAAGGACGTAGGGTTTACGGAGAGATTGGAGGTGGAGTTAGGGATTAGGGTTTACTGATTTGGCCGTAATAAGGTTAGATAAAATGGTAAAAATAAAAAAGAAAAAAAAAAGGTAAGATAGGATAAGTTGGCAAATTGGATGCGGAGATTACATTTATACATTCCGTCTTTAAGTGAGAAGTATAAAACGACGTAGTTTTAATGAAGGGAAAAATAGTCAATTTGTTTTTCCATTAACGGTTGTTTGACGTTGTGTCCTTAAGTGAGTCTTTCGGTTAGTCCAGGGGAGCAGTTTGTAGATCAGGGAGGTTAGTTGCAATACCCTCAAATATATGATTCCTCAAAACCAAGAGCGGATATAATTAAGGTTCCTCATATATTGATTCACATAACATGATACTAAATTAAATTTTTTATATCATTTTTTAGATATTATTCATCAATTCAGTTTTGATGATTCTATGCAATGACATATGACAATTCGATAATCAAGGGTGATTGCGTCAATTTATGCCCGACTTCATTCTTGAAAATGACATTACATGAGTGCATCATATCATCAGAACCCATGCAAAAATCGAAATGAAGATACCTTTTTCTATGGTTGATCTAGAAGACTAATCATTTGACCATACATAACTAATCAAGAGGTATATTTGCTAGTCAATAGGCTAAAATTAGAAAATGATAAGACATGAGCATTAAGAAATAAATAAATAAATAAAAGATGAAAAAGAAACTCAAAACTTTTAGTTTGTGCATCCACCATCGTTCATTTCAATCTCCTAGTCTAAGGGAATTTGATTACATGGATAGTCCAGGAACTTTGAACCTTCTATTAAGAAATTCCCATTAAAGGTGAAGATTTACGATCAGGGAAATTGGAAACTGAAACAAGAAAGCTTTGGTGAAATATCATACTTATTTGACCAAAAAAAAAAAAAAAATATTGCCCATATCAGAGTTTCAACTACTAAAAAATTGGGTAAATTACACCGACCTGTCCTGAGGTTTGTTGTAATTATATGGATCTTCTCTATGGTTTTAAAAATTACTCTGACCATTTCTGAAAAGCAAACCTTGTAACACCAACCTTTCCTGTTAGTGATGGCCATCAATTGAATTAATACTTTGGGTGATTTTACTAAATGCCCTTTACAAGAAAAAAGTTAAACAGACAGAGATGTATTTCATGTCTATCTCTTGAATCTCTTTTTGTCATTCACCACCTCTTATTTTAGGGAACCAGCATTTGACATGTGGCAATTGAATGCCACATGTCTTCTTTTGATGGACGTTTCCTTACTAGATCCCAATTCCTCTTGACTCAATCTTCAGTTCCACATGGCAGCATTTGAGTGGTTCCATGTTTCAAAGTTCAAGTTGCTGGGTGGAACTGCTTGGAGAGTAGCACTTCTCTTTTATCCCTAACTTGACATTCCTTATCTATCATTTATTAAGGTTAAAAGAGGTTAAAAGAGTCATTAAATTCGATTAAGGGCAATATTGGTATTTAATTGTTTAAGTTGCATGACGGCAGCTACTTCTACCATTGATTAATGTTAATTTTGCCATCAACAGAATTAATGGTTATTATGATTTTACTAAAATGCCCTTACATGGAAAAAAGAAACAAATAGAGATGTATTTCATTTCTATCTCTTGAATCTTTTTTTTCTCATTCGCCATCATTTATTAAGGTTAAAAGATCATTCTATTCGATTAGGGGCAATATTGGTATATGTTAACAACCATTTACTCCAAAAGCTTAAGCTGTTAGAAAGGGTGCAACTTAAATATATAAATACTTCAACATGCCCCCTCACGTGTGGCCCTCTTTTGGTCCAACACGTGTTTAAGAACTGTCAAGAATCATTGAACAAATAATTTCAGATCCTAAAAACTTTTTAACTCCATCTGGTATAGTCTCAATTTCTTTAATTGGCTACACCCTGAAGAGGAAAAATGTGAAACCGTGAAGCACATAAATAATTAACAGTGAGAGTCCCAGAATAATGTTGCAAGCCTCCCAATCATCGATATAATATTCTTTTTAGTTTCCTGTATTATTTACTATTGATAATGACAGAAACCTTGTTCAAACAGTAGCTTAATGTTTATCCTTCTTAAAGCTCTAAAAGTTGAACTTCAAAATCTGCCTTCATTGACAGTTTAAAGTTCTTAAGGATGCTATGTTTCAAAGAAATAATTTAAAGAACCAAAAGACGATACTCACAGTCAGTAACCTTCATTGAACCTGGTGAATCCACCCCCAGCCATACATAAAATGTGGCATAAAGGATGGCAACACCAAGTACAGCCAAGCCAACAACCACTAGGGCGGAGAAGCCACCAGCACGAACAGCTATCTGCACTAAAAAGTAGCTGCTTAATATACAAATCTGGAAGAGATTCAGTTTGAGCACGACCTAGACAAGGACAGAACCTGCAATGCCTCTCTTGCAGACCGTCTTGCTGCACTTGAGACACGAACATTTGCACGAACAGACACCCACATCCCAACATACCCAGCAACACCTGAACATAGAGCCCCTAGAAGAAAAGCAGCAACAGTAATGTATGCAGTTGTCACCCTGCATCAGCATAACCAGAAAGTATAATTTTTATCAGCAGGAAACTAGAGGAGAAATAAATGCTATAAACTCAACATTAACATTTGTAATTACCTCCCTACACCAGAAGATTCTTGTTGAGGAGTTGTACTACGAAATAAATATATGGCAAGGATCACCAGTGCTAGTAACAATGCCATCTTGGAGATAGTCCCATACTGGGTCCTAAAAAACCCTTCAGCTCCATCGCGTATTGCATCTGATATCTAGCAAGAAAAATGATAAAGCTAAGGGCAAGTGAACAAAGAATTTAAAATTGACAACGTATAGTATCTGTTTTTTTTTTTTTTTCACCACCCTTTTTGGCCAAATTAGATGATTATTCTCACGGCACGATCACACACCAATCACTTTCATAGCATAGCAGTGCATGAGTTTAGAATTGGCTTAATCACTAAAAGGCCAGATGAAGACACAAGTTTTCTTAACAAAACCTATGCCACATTTCTTACTCGTCCAAACTAGAACCTCAAATCACAACAAAGAAAAAGAAAAAAAAAAATAGAACAAAACACACAACAGACTACCGTCAAGCTCTTGTACCAAGTTTTCTTAACTAACTAAATTAAGAGTAGACATATTGCATATCTCTTACTATGGAACTTCTCTATCATTTCTCAAATTTCTTTTACTGAATTTTTTTAAAAAGAAAACAAGAACTGCATTTATGACAATTTCACATAACTCTACTGTGGTTTCTCAAATTACACTGGACTCCCTCATGCTGTGTGTGTATAATGTAATTTATACACAAACTAAATCAGAAATTCGCGGAAGTGGCTCTTGCTAAATACAGATTCTATACGTCTCCTTCAATGTCAATGCATTAACCATTGAAACACCAAAACACAAAACCATTAGACTAAGAATTGCTCCAATTTCTCCACATTTCAAGTTCCAACCAACAAAAATCTGTAATTCAACCTACTGAGAATACCTGATTCAATCTTTAATGTTTGAAGACCTTGAGAGCACATAAATTTTACCTTTACTGTTTTCAAGAACTCTAGAAAACTTAAATCAGTTTCAAAGAAGTACAAAAATGCAACCCTCTGAAATCATGCCTTTCTTTAAAATCAGTTTTAGAAAATTGACAACCCAATGAATTTTTTAACATTTTTCTATTTTTCAGTTAGAACTAAACAGTCCACACACCTACCAATGAATCACAGTTCACAGTTCACACATCAGAACATACACATGACTAGTACAATGAATATGAAATGGGTGTGTACTATGGGTCAAGTGCAGAAAACACCCCTAATGTATACTTCGCGTAGCACTTGCACCCCCTATTTGAAAAACTGTGCTAATAATCCCCTTATTCTTTTAACATTGTGTGGAAACACCCCTCAAATAGAAATCTGACATAAAGTAATGTTGTAATGCCCGTTTTGCCCTTTTACTCTTCCGAAAATGCTATGCTAATAATCTCATAGTATAGGGGTGCTATGTGCACATTTAACCCACTTTTAAGGATTTTTCTCTCACCTTTAAAAAAAAAAAAAAAAAAAAAAAAAATTTGATAAAAAATTTATCTCTATATATCTCCCCTAGCAGTGTATTATCTCTCTCTAAGTTGAGAGTCATACATTTCCTAGGACTTGATGACTTTCATAAGTTAGAAAGTTCTAATATATGTATTTCTCTATCCACTTGGGTGCAAACAACTCTGTGGTGAGTAATTAACTAGGAAAAATATATATATTTGTATTTCTTTTACTAGTAAAATAGAGAGAAAAAAATATCTCAAAAAAAAGAAAATTATTTGGTCTCACAGTTGTTAGATTAATGGAGAGTATATAAAATGGAATGAAAACCACATTTCTTTTTATAATTATAAAAAAGAAAAAATTATTCTCAATTAAAATTTAATATAGTTATCATTTTTCATTAAATATATAATTAAAAAATTAAACGAAATCATTTCGCTTCGTGTCCATTTTTGTCATTTCACAATAATTTTTTTTTAAAAAAATATGTAAAATGTGTATATAAGGGCAATTTAGGCAAACTCTACCTTAAATATGTTAGGAGGGACCTATTTGCACAAATTGCAACTTCAGGGGTGTTTTCTGTACATGAAGGGTGTGATACGCACCGTAAGCATATCATAGGGGTGTTTTCTGCACTTGACCCGTGAACTATCTCATTATTTTTTTTGATAAGTAAAATTGTATTAGAAAGCGTTCAAGAGGGGAACGCGTCCCAGCAACTGTACAAGAACCAAGAACAAAAAAAAGAAAAGAGAAAACCTACGGACCCAAAGACCCCAAAAAGTCCATGATCTCCTCAACAAAAGAACAATCTCTCCCCATACCCTAACTAAAAAGAGAACAAATAATAGAGTACTTTAGAGCCCCAACGGGTGACTCCTCCCCAACAAAGGATCTTCTATTTCGTTCTTTCTAGAGGCACCACCAAATGCAAAGGGGAGTTGCCCTCCAGAAATCGCGAACACGAGCCCCCACCCTTTGCCCCCTCCAAATATCAATAAGACCCCGTGAGGTCCAAGGCATAACCCACTGGACGCCAAAAAGACCCAACATAAAGGATCGCTATCTCATTATGATTGCTAAAATTATTTACGATAGCTAGCAACTCTCACTATAACAAGGAAGGTCGGAGTTATTTTTACCACCTTAGTATTAAGAACATAAAAAGGAACAGTTACCTGAATAATGTACAGGATCAAGTCAATGCACCCACATGATTTAAAGGATCATGCCAATTAGAAGAAATCAACAATAATTCCTTTGTTCAAGGTTTTCAAGGAAAAAACAAAGAAACAATAGTTAGTTAAACAATTGGAAAAAAATTGTACCTGGGCCATCTCAATAGGCCCCTCATCCTTTGAGAGTACCCACTTGGTGAGATATATTGATAATAGGAAGCTGATGATGCAAACTGAGAAAACAAATAGAATGATTGGAGAAGTACTAGCTCCAACGTAAAAGATAGCACCTAATCCCAATAGCAGAAGTATGAAAAGAACACGAACGTTTATTCTCATAAGAATGCGAAAAATCTGCACAAAGAAACCAACCTGTCAACACCAACCAAATTGGAGGGAGGGGGTGGGGGAAAGAGAGAGGGAGAGTTTATTAAAACAAAGAAAGAAGAAGAAGAAAGAAAGAAATGCACATTTCAGCAAACAAAAATAGAAAACGGGAAAACCATTTAATGAAAGCTCAAAAGAGGAACTTAGTAAAGAAAGGAAAAACAACAGCGAGTCTCAGTGAAGCGAAATGACAAACCGCAATTTAGTATCAAATCCAGAAGCTAATATGCCGTCATTACTTTTTTCACCATTAATACTAAAGTCTCAAGCCCCTTTGTTACCACTAATATTAAATCTTCAAGTTATTCAGTACATGTTTTTTTTCAAATTTATTATGTATTTGGTTGTACTCTGTAAACACCTGTTTGAGATTTTAAGAATTTTATGGGCTGAGTTCCACCATATTTTTTTATCTGGTTCAAAGGAAAATTGACAGTGAGACTATTTTTTTTTTAAAAATAAATAAAAAAAGGAAGAGAGAAACATAAATATGTGTGATCTGCCTTTGCTTTATTTTTCACTTTTTATCACGTATGGTGTTCTATGGGGATCTAAGTTTTACAAACAGGAGGTGTTTTACATGCAGTTTCTCAGGTTAAAAATGCATGTCATTGTCACCAATTATTCTCTTGTTCAACATATAAGAATTAATTCCATGATTATAAAAGTACTCTTGAGTACAAACAAATCATGATAACCAGCCATAAAGCTTTAATACAAATTTCATAAGTTCTCTATATTTTTTAAAAAATTTGTTGGCAATACAGAATGCTTTGCTAAAAAATTTATGCTCTTCCAAATATATGTTATTTCAGATATTATTAAGATGTTCTGGTTAAACATATTTCTTTTGTTTTAATCTAACTTGCCACTTTTATTATTTTCTCTCTAAGTTTCTACTTTTTAAGAATCTCAATACACATGCCCCCTATTTGATAATTACATAATTGACAGTAATTACATTGATGGCCCTGTTCATTGCAATAAGATTTTACAGGGAAAAAAAAGTTTGAGGCACAAAAACGGAAAGAAAGAGTTGCAGAACAATAATTGTCAACAACTTGTGCTAGAATATGTTAGATATCACCATAAACCAGCATTTTTGCAATATGCCATAAAATGGGTAGTCAAATAAATGTTTAAAATCTTGAACTGAATAAAGTTCAAGTGAAGTTAATGCAATATTAAGCAGCTACCACAATCAAATCAAACACTGTTGATCAGGACAGAAGGTTATAATGTTACTCCACAATGGGAAAAAGGAAAAAAGATTCTGAAATTACTTCACTAAGAGGTAAAAAACATGCATAAGAGGATAAAAAATAGAACAAACATAAATCGCACAACTGGATGAATAATGCGCTGAAGAAGGAAAGAAGAGATGATTTAGATATCAATCTTACCAATGGGTTGTATGCTTTACAACGCATGTTAGGGAAAGTCCTTGGCCTGTCTTGGTAAGGCCCCAAATTACCGCTCTCCATTTCGTCATCCATTGCAACAGCATGGAAGGAATTTACCCTCCTAGCTATAGGGAAAGGGTCACCTTGGGGGAACTCACCCCCTGAACCTATTCGCTGAATTTTGAATACTCTTAGTTGGACAGTAAAGATTAATCTAACAATACGTGGGTGTACAGTAAAGATTAATCTAATAATACGTGGGTAAGGAAGACATCAATCCTTTGTTCAGGCAACTGCTCCCCCTCTTCGTTCTATAGCTTCTAAATGGAAATCTTTTTGGTTCAACCTCAACAACTAAGGAGTTATATTCCCCTTCTCAGCCCCTAAATACCACTAGAGTTTTCTGAAAAAGAAAAAAGAAAAAAGAAAAACACAGTAAAAAAATGTCAATACCAGATGACTTCAATATAATAATTGAGGTATAGAAGAAAGAACAATCTACATGATATCATTTTCCAGATCCCACAAAAAATGAAAAAATATAGATTTTTTTTGTTGATAAGTTAAAAAAAAAAATATATATATATATATATATATATATATATATATATATATACATACAGAATCGTTCACTTGCTCGCTGATGTGCAAGAAAATATATGCACACCTCAAGACAGTTAAAAAGGTAGTTTATTCTTTTATATCCAACGGTTAAGATTTACTTCGTGTATAAATTCCTTGCACACCAGTGAGTAGGTGAACAGTCCTATATATATATATATATATATATATATATATATATATATAGATTAAAAAACACACACAAATAAAGAAAAGCGCATGAGTAGTGCATGAGCAAACAACATGAGCTCATCAATATCAAACATCCCAACTTCTAATCTTGGGTACTTGTACAACATTATACAAACAAGAAAGTCTTCCTTCAAATGCATGCCATCATTTTAAAATGTAATCAAATGACATTATACACGAAAAGATGGAAGCAAGGTAAAATGCAAGTCAATTCAAGAGTCAAATATACATTTAATTACTTCACAAATTGCAAAAGATGTCTTACGATCACACAGTAAAAATAAAAGGTGAGGCAAAAGGTCAAAATAGTTTTTTATTAGGGGAAAAAAAGGTTTACCAGTTTTACCCGTTCTTAAAATTTCTTAGGAAGAAAAAAAAAATATATATATATATATATATATATATATATTAATGGTATGTATGTAAAGAGTAGTAAGCAATAACCGAAAGCATTGAGAAAACGTTAACATTAAAATGAAAAAAGGCAACCTTTCCAAAAAAGAAAATTGAAATTAGGCAATGGCAAACAAAATATTGCAATGGTAAGTGCGATTAAAATTCAGATAGAGACCTCAAACTAAACATGAATCAGTAAACGAAACCAAAGAATCAAAAAACCAGACAAAATGGAACTACATTCATGGGAGAAACTACCACAAAATCAAAAACGAAATAATTAACGACATCTAAACCCATGAGATCCAGACCCAAAACCCTAGATTCAATGCAGTGCCTCAAACTGATATAAAATAAGAAGAATTAAACCAATCGGACACCAATTTAAGGATCTAGAAAACACTGTTAGTCGCTCTGTGCGACCGTCGATATTCACTGCAACACCACTCCTGTTCTTCGATCACAATTAGGGAAAACTAAAATTTGTAGACAGATCAACAAACATATAAAACTGTAGAACCCAAAAAAAACTTACCGTCGTTACCGCCATTGATGGAGGGCTAAGCTTCATAAACCTTTGATAGCTCTCTCTGTAAAAATGGCAGAATTTAGAGAGAGAGAAATGGGGAAAAGAAAAAGAAAATTAAAAAGTCTTCAAGATCTCAAATTTAAATATACTGTATGTGTGGATATATATATATATATATATATATACATGATGTGTGCAATCGACACGTTCAATAGGACTCTTGAGCCAGGTAAGTTGTCCAATTAAAACGTGCCACGTAATCAATTTATGTTCTATTTGTAAGCTTCGCTGGCCAATTACTAGCTTCTTATTAAGGAAAAATTACTATACTGCTTATCTATCATCTACTACTCGGTAAATAGTTAAAATCAAGCCTACCCAAATTTTACGATGATGATTCCCCTATATATATATATTATATATATTTTTTAAAATAGAAACTTTCATATTTTCACGTGTGACTCCTCAATAATAAATTTGGGCTTAGAAAAATTCATTTTACTCTTATAGCCATGAAATATATAAAGTTTGAAAGTGTCTAATGTTAACATTCGTGTTAGGGGTGCACAAAAGAATTGTGGAATCGAAACCGTGAGAATCGGAATCGAAATTCCGATTCTCACAATTCCGGTTCCGATTCCTGGAATGAGAAACCGTTGATTTTCGGTTCGATTCTGGTTCCGGTCTCACTTTTCGATTCTGGAACCGGAACCGTAATATATATATATATATATTTGATTATTATTATTATTATTAATTTTAGGCAAATCATTTCAGCCGCAGCCTCCCCAATCTCCTCCATCTCTATTCTCTCGACTCTGAACTTGCCCTCTCTCTCAGATCTCTCACTCTCTCAGTCTCAGTCCTCGCATTTTCTCAATCTCTGAGATTATCTTTCTTTCCTTTGGCTCTTCACTTTGAAAGAGTAGACCCTAATCAAGCTATCTGAGCAAGCAAAAGGTAGAAGACGATGCTGAGAGTTGCGGGTAGGAAGTTAACCTCTCTTTCTCATGGAGGTCCACCCAGACATCATCGGCCTTCGTCAACAGAAATCCAATTAACGGCTCTGATTCTGTTACGTTTTTTATTTTTCCCATTTTTCATTTTTTTGGGATTTCTGATTTTTCGAGGGTATTTTCATCTTTTCTCGTTTTGCGTGTCGGACACCGTGGGGTGTACCAGTTGTGTCTAAGAGTTGGTTGGGGCATTTCATTGAGTTCAGGACTCTTGGAAATGCAAGGATTGCCATTTTGCTTTTTTTTCGTTTTTCGGGTCGAATAGTCTCGTGTGGGACCCGTTACAGGAATTGCTATGCATGAGGGTGTTGATTGGGTCCATTTGCATCACATGCATTTTTAGTTAATGTGTTATATGGGGTTGTGAATTGTTAAATGTGTATATATATGTGTGTGGTGTAAAAAGGAAAAAGAAATAAAATAAAATAAAAATGTTTTGGTGGTGGGACCCACCACCTCTTTCAAAGGTTAAGAGGCCATTTAGGCCTCTCATTTCTCTTCCTCTCCCATAACTCTCTCCTTCTCTTTCTCTTTCTAGAATTTTCTTTTTCTTTTAGTTTCAAATCTTCAATTCTTGATTTCTCCTTCATCATTTGGAGTTTTTGAGTGCCGTTTGCGGCAAATTAAAGAGCGCAACAAGATCTACGATTTGATCGGAGCAATTCCTTGTTTGGTGCACTTTGGAATTTAGAGATTAGGGCACACAAATTGGGGGTTTTTGCATCTTAAGAGGTAGGGGTTTCTAAATTGCAAGTACTCCTTGGATTTTTGTGAATTGCTCTCCTAATTGTGATTTAACATGCTTATTTTATGAATTTTGAGCATGATCTCCATGTAATATGTAATGAAAAGTGTTGAAAGTTGTGATTATGTGAGTTGTTGTGAAATTTGGTGTTCAATGTATGTTATACCATGGTCTTTTTAAGTAGAATGCTTTGTTTGTTAAGTGACAATATTTTCTTACTTGTAATGTTAAATTCTTCTAATAACTTGTTGTGTTATTAAGGTTCAAAAACATGGAAATTCATGACATTGAATTGCATATACATTCATGCATTAGTATGGGGTGAGGAAGGTAAATTGTTTTGGAAAGGAAGGAAGGTGTTTTGGGAGGGAAAGAAATCTATTTTGAGACAAAGGTTTGGGAAATGGGGAGTGGCATTTCACCTCTTGGATTTGCATGGCATTACACTTATTGTATATGGACTTGTATGTAAAGATGTGTGGTGATATATATATATATATATATATATATATATATATATATATATATATTTTTCCCAAAATAAATATGGTCCCTCTTCTATGTGCCGTTCTTTGTTTGGATTCACGGAATCATTAAGGGGTGCGTTTTAGGCACTTCCTGCTGAGCCGTCGTGCTCACCCCATTTTATCATTTTTCAGGAGCCGCAGGGGAGGCAATGGGCGATTCACATTTTATCCATGCTAGTGTGTAGATGATTTTCGTTAACAGGGTCTTTTGTATATTTAGAAATTGGTATTTCGATGTAAGCTTTTATAATGTAAAGGAACATGTATTTATTGAAACTTCTTAAGTATTTGGATTTATGTAAGGCTTTAAGGCCATATTTTGAAGTAAAATGAGACTATGTAATTATTTCATGATAAATGGGTAATGAAGTATATTCTGACCGACCATGTAGGTCAGAATGATCGACCACGTAGGTCAGAACGATCGATCACATAGGTCAGAACAACTAACCACATAGGTCAGACCGACCGACCATGTGGGCCAGCCAACCGATCATGCACAATCGGCAGACCGACCCTTCCTCACTGACTTGCGCATTTGACCCTCTTTGTAAGGTTGTGTCTTAGAGCATTTTGGACAATGGATTGACTCATCTGACAGTTATAGACACAGGAAATGGATGGTATGACTTAGTTGACCTCGTGTTCGGGTAAGGATCCGGTTAACGGTTCGAGTCGTTACAAAATTGGTATTAGAGCTTTAGGTTCGAAAACCTAAGGACGACGGGTAGGGTTGACCCAGGTTGAGTCAGGGTTGGGTTTAACGGTATTGCATACTTGTCTGACTATTGCTTGTTTAGTTTTAAAGCATGATTAATTACTATGTGCCTGCATATAATTTGATTTTTATAATTCATGAACTAATGAATGAAATAAAGCATGCTAAATGATAATGTGTTTACTGTTATTGAGTTTATTGTTTTGTAAATATGAACGCATGCTTAATTGTTAATTGTTTACCATTGATGAAAACATGCTTAGTTGGCCACGTGTTTCATTGTTAAGTGTCTGTTATTATTAGAAGCATGGTATACAAGTTCTTATTACAAGTAGCTGAGCATGATAGTTATGATCTTATTTTAGGACGTAGTTGCACGCTTAGGTTCATATTGTGGTCGTTCATCCACTAAGGAGTGGATGTATGCATGATTTGTTGGTTTCGTTGTTGACGGGTTTGAGTATTCGGGACAGTGTTGTATGTTGAATTGCGGAAGGTTTTTGACCCACGTAAGTGAGGGGCTTGATCACTTATATGTTTCTGAATGTTTAGTTCTTATCGAATGGTTAGTGTGAGCACCGTAGCTCGTGGATTGAGCTACTTTATGTATCCTTGTTTTGATCGTTTGGTTGTCTTTATAGAACCGTGTTTAAAGACTACATGAAGTGATGGATTTGGATGAAGTTGAGGAGCGAGCAGGTGAAGGGCCATCCCAACCAGATAGAGTTTTAATGGGACAGGGCCGAGATAAATAGGGGGATGATAATTCACAAGTACCGGAGGACGATGTTCTATTAGCGAGGGCTGTAGCCTCAGCCTTTCAGAATTTAACGAGTACCACAGCTCCTCAAGTGGTACCACGATCGGCTATTCAGCGACAGGAGATAGAGATGGAACAGAATCTTAGGTACCTGCTCCAGTTTAACAAACTCATGGAAGTAGCATTTAAGGGAGGTCCATACCCGTTGGTGGCGAACGGTTGGTTAGATGAAGTTGAAAAGTATTTCGGGGTAATAGCCGTGCCCGATGACCGGTTGAAGATCACCTTAGCTACGTATAAGTTTGTTAGCGACACGGCGGTATGGTGGAAGACCATGACTAGCACGCGTGACATTGATAGTATGAGTTGGGATGCATTCAAGAGTCTTTTATTTGATAATTATTTCTCGCAAACTAAGAGACGGGAATTGAGGACGCAGTTTGACGAACTTGAACAAGGTGACATGTTAGTGACAAAGTATGAGAATAAGTTCACTTCTCTTTCACGTTTCGCTTCAGATGTGTTAGGGAACGAGGAGGAGAAAACATGACGTTTTGTGTACGGCCTAAATCGTAGGCCGGGGGTGACACTTTTGGGATTAAAGAATTATTCAGAAGCGGTTACGAGAGCACTGATGGCAGAGGCAGAAGCCAAAGATTGGCAAGAAAGGAATGGTATTGTGGGTTCTCAAGGACGAGGTACGAGTGTGGATACTTCTTCCGGGAGCCAGGATAGGAAGAGACATAGATGTGCTTAATTATTTTCTCAGGAGAAGCGGACGGCAGGTGCTACTCCTATTGTTGGTGCTTCTTCAGAGCCCTCTAGGATGAGTGTGGTGTGTTATCATTATAGACAGCAAGGACACCGCAAGGCGGAGTGTCCTCTTGATAGACCTAGCTCTGGAGTTTGCTTTCGGCGTGGCCAGTCGTGCCATATGAAGAGGGATTGTCCACAGAGGAGATGAAATATTATTGTGATTGATTCTTATGTAACGGGGGATACCTGTGAAATTAGGCGTATGCCTGTGCACAGTTGTGCTGGATGTAACGGGGGCTACCTGTGAGTTTTGTAACGGGGGGTTACCTGTGACTGTGTTGTAACGGGGGATACCTGTGAGTCGTGTCAGTTGTAACGGAGGACACCTGTGAGCCGGCTTGTGTTGTAACGGGGGATACTTGTGAGTCGTGTCGTGTTGTAATGGGGGACACCTGTGAGTCGTGTTGTGTTGTAGCGGGGGACACCTGTGAGTCGTGTCGTGTTGCATGGTCACCTGTGAGTCGTATTGCATTGTTGTCTATGAGTCGTGTTGCACGGTAATTTGTCAGTCGTGTTGTACGGTAGTTTGTTAGTCGTGTCGCATTGTCATATGTGTGTTTT